TGAATATGCTTTTAGCTGATAATGAAGGAGCATTTTCCCTTTGGAATCGAAAGGCGGATTTAATAATGAATCCTATATCTTTTTATGTACAATCTTGGATAATCTAATTTCATTATGTGATACCCCATAATAAAATCTATTGATTAGGCGAAGAATGGTGATCGTAGGTATTACCATTCTCGAAATATCGATGTACAAACGCATTTGGTTCAATGGCCAAAATCAAGAGAACGAACAATAAATTGAGAAAAGTATTTGCTCTCTGATGTGTAATAACAATTTTCATAGACTCATCATAAGTTTCAGATCGCTAACTATTTTGGTCTTTGAATTCGGAGTGTTTAATTGAAAATCGAACTTGATCTTTTATACAAAAACGCAAGGTTTAATTTCTCAAAGTAAATGCATTTCCGGGTTAATCATTAAAAGTTACATCGGGAAAATGAGTTTCATGCAAAAACCTGCTTCCAGTATTGTGTAAAAAGCAATCGAACTTTTAACTTTTTACTCGATTTTCTTGAAAACTGTACATCGCACGCAATATTTTTTTGTGCCAATAGACTCAGTTTCTATATCTCTATAAGCCCCACTAAGTATCAACTCATAAATCAATTGTTCGAGTCTTTTACAGCATTCTTTGCATTTCATTTTTAAGCTAAACCAGAAAATTGGTTTAAAAGCAAAGGAATGGGTTGAGAAGAGTTTGTTTTGCTAAATAAGTTGTTTCTTGTACAATTACAGCCCAAACATCGCAACTAAAATGTGTTAATGGAGACTTAATCAATTAAATTGAATTAACAATTGGTGAATAGTCAAACTGATGAAAGAATGATGAATGTGGGTGATGCCATTCTCGAAATATTCTCGAATTCAATGATTAATTATCCAATTATTAATACTTTAGTCTAGGATTTCTTTAGCATCATTCTCATTAACGGAGAAACTAATGAATACTGTGCAAAATTAAATTGCTCTTAAGGTGCATAATTAATCATAAAAGCAATTATTAACCAAAAAATTGTCTTATTGTTTGCATTTCAAGTTTAATTGGACCTGAAATATCTTCAAATCTATTCGAGTCTTGATTTTCTCAAGCCCAGATAATTGAAATTAAATTCACAATATTTCAAATTGAATATTGCTATTGTGGATCAATAACTATTGAAAATAACTCACCCTAGACCCATTAAATTGTTGTGTTAATTTGATTTCACATTTCACACGTGAGACAATTCAATTCAAATTTTGTCAACTTATAAAACTCAAATCAATAATTTCAAGTGAGTCGTATGAAGTGACATGAAAGACTACAAATTGTTAACATTTGGACAAGTTATTGTTAAATATTCATTGCCAAGTACTTTTATGAAATAACATAACAATTTGAGTGAAGTAATTAGCAATCCCAATGAAGGGACAAAAAAATGGTCGCTTTGATTACTATCAAACACCTTCTCGCAGCAATCAAACTAGTCAAATATTTTCAGTACCACACAACCAAATGTTTCCCTCACATCATATTCGTCCAAAATATACACGGACAACCAGCAGATTATCATCAATACCATCGACACCATCAGCAACATCATCATCAACACAGTGTTTTAGCCTGCTTCGAGCCGCATTAGACCGAAGACAGTTTTCATTGCGAACCATTTCAGTAATGCTTTTAAGTTATACTGGAGCTGCTGCATTGGCCACTCTATTGACGGCTGAATATTTTCATTACTATACGACTACTCGCATCGAGATAATTAGTCCAAATCATTCAGAGTTACCAGCCTTTTCAGTTTGCTTATTTTACATTCTACCCGAAATAAGACTGGAAAAAACACACGACAATTGGCTTGAATCGTCTTTAACTTTGGGTGAGATTGACTCGAGACTACCAAAGTTTGATGAATTTGTTATTGATTGTAAAGTGTTGGACAGCAATTACAAATATAAATCATGCATCAACATAACTCCAAATGTAACTGAATATCTAAGTCTGTATTCCAAATGTTATACGTTATTTGAAAAAATGGATCCAATTGTGTATGAAGATGGTAAAGTTGGATCCAACTTCTTGATTAAATTACGCCTCAACACTAAAAATTTAACAACAAATACATTGGCCATCTTTATCAACCATCGAACCGAAGAGCTGAGAGAAGCTTATGGCAATCCAGGATTCTTGCAATTGGAGTGTGAAAATAAAAATGAAGCCATTGCAACTTATGAGCGAACAGTGATCAAGTCGTTAGAATCTCCTTACGACTCAGGTTGTCGCGATTATTCAAAGGAACCTTGTTTCAATCGAAACACTTGTCTTAAACGTTGCATCCTCAACTCTCTGCATAAAAGTATTAAAAGATTCGACACCAATCGATATGTTAAACTGTTTTCCAATCGACTTGATGGACGTTTTGGTGTGAGAAATGAATCCTTTGATACTCAGGTTTGTCGCAACAAGTTCACTCAACCTCCTTGCAATGAGTACATTTACCGAGCCATTTCTGGTATCCAAATATACTCGCCTTTCATGCCTAATGGTACCTTTGAGTTTTCATTGTCTTATCCACTTGGAACCGAAATACGAGTCCAGTACGTTCCTTATCGACCATTTCTCGATTACCTCATCTTTGTTTTCAGTGTCATAGCTCTTTGGACCGAGTTTTCCGTCTCTCGGACTCTCTACAAATTTTCCAATTGCTTACAGAGTGGCATTTTGAAAAGGATGCGAGATTTTATATGCTATCGTTGACTAATTACAAGGATTTTGGATTGGAAAGTCCAAAAATAATATTAATCAATAACATGTGTTGATATTATTTTTATATTTTTAACTTTCAGCCAGCAATATACAAAACCAAATTGCCAAATTCATATTTTAAAGACCAAAATATTAAATCTAAAGTCAACTCTTCATCCGAGCAAGGATTCATGTCAATGGAATGCTCCAACCCTAAGCTACTTATTGATCTAAAAGCTCATGAAATTATTTTGCTTAAAAAACCATTTACCTTGGAAATTTGTCCACGAGCAACTGATCGCAGGTAATCAACATAGACCGAGACTCATCATTATCATTCTGGTTTCTGCTTTGTTTCATCAGAAATTAATGTCAACAATTGTTTCTCTTGTTTAAATATGCGATATTATTCAAATAAAAAATACTAAGAACGATAAAATATATTTATTCATTTGGTCAATCAATATTGAGCATGAAATGTCTCAAGAATCCTGTTGAAGGGAGGAAAATTTTCTGGACAATTTTTTCATAAAACATCACAATTGGTGAAAATTTAAGTTGCTTATAACTTGATATATTATTTGTCTAATTATTAGCTCTTTTATGGGAAACTATTAGGTAAACCGGAAAGTTTTTGCACTCTTGAAGTGTATTAATTTTGAACAATTAATTAATTTAGTAAAATTTATTCAAATGATTCGATTTTTTCTAAAATATTAAATCAATGTTTTTTCTTTAATTTAAATCCAATTCCATGATTGAAAACATTGATTTACTTATTTAAATTTGGATACAATTAAATCATCATTCTTTGAAATTTTTGATGCTCAATTTAAATTGATGATTAAACATGATCAACAATGCAAAATTAAAAAATGATAATGATTAGAATTTCGAAATTTCTATCAGTGGTTATATGGAATTTGAGCTTTCGGTCGATATCAATTTTTCTTAATTTTGAATTGTTGATCATTTTTAATCAACAATTTGAATTGATCATCCAAAATTTCAACAAATGATGATTTAATTAAATCAAAATTTGAACATGTTAATCAATGTTTTCAATCATGAAATTAGATTTAAATTAAAGAAAAAACATTGATTTAATATTTTAGAAAAAATCGAATCATTTGAATAAATTTTACTAAATTAATTAATTGTTCAAAATTAATACACTTCAAGAGTGCAAAAACTTTCCGGTTTCCCTAATAACTTAAAAAATCTATTAATAATGCGAGTCCCAACCTTCAAAGAAGCGAGACAACTAAATTGTACAAAAACTTGGACAATTTTTCCAAGTTCAATGTAAATTTTGAGTTTAATGATGATTTGAGCCTTCTTTCACTCTACATTTTTTCCCACCAACATTTTGTATTTTAATCGGTGACCTTAATTTTAAAATAATTTTACTCTGAATGCACATTTATTGATATAAAAATTGAATTTTAATTTGTGGTGAGACAATTTAATTAGCATCTTACTCGTGAACCAATTATAAATAAATCAATAAATTGAAGTCATGTCCATTGTGAGAAGATTTTTGCCAGAACATTGAACATTGTATTGTTCAATCAAAAATATTGTATTGTTAGTCCAACTTTACGTGAATTGGTTAAATTTCATCCACTTTTTAGCAGTTATTCATAAAATTTGATCAATAGTAATGTCATTATCAATGAAGCAAAATCGCTCTGGTTACTTTACAGACTCCCAAACAATTTCTCATGGTAATCAAATTGATCACTCATTGTGTAAACCAGTCGACCCTGGTCAGTCCCATTACAAATACAAAGGGACTTCAGGACCACTAACACCATATCCAAAGTGCCTTTATTTTGGAGTGAACCTGAAAAAGTTGCTCTGTTTACGTTTGCAGTAATATTTTTGAGTTATTCTGAAGCTGCTGTATTGGCGACTCTATGAACCTTTGAATATAATATACGACTAATCGCATTGAGATAATCAATCCAACTCAAAAAATGAATCAATTGATCTCAGGGCTGCCTCAATAAATTCAACTTGCGATGATTACATTTACATTTCCTGGTATTCAAATATGCTCTCCTTTTACACCTAATGGTACCTTTGAGTTTTCCCTGTCTTACTAAAAATCAATTGTAAAAGCAACGGAAATTTCGATTAAAACTAATCTTATCGATTTAAATGCGTATCATTCATTGAGATGGGCGAAACTTAATTTTCTAAGCTGTATATTAAAAACCTATGAATATCGATTGGTTGATTATTTTTATTTGGATCAACTATATTAGGGGGTCTCACGCAGATCGAACCAAATTTGCTATTTTATTGTATTTGATCTGATTATTGCATTGAGGTGATTTTCAGTAAACAGTATTTTAAGTAATGCAAAATTTTTTTTGCAATTAACAAAATCAAATATCTCAATTGGTTTTAGGAGATATTTTAATGTGTATAAAAAATGACCAAAAATAAAATCAAAAAGAGCTGTATTTTGAAAAATGGTCACAGGGGGGACCCTATGCAGAAACTGTATTTTTGATTAAAATCAATGTTAGTCAATAGGAGCTGAAAATTTTTGTCTTTTTTTAATTACATTAAAATATCTCTAAAACTAATTGAGATATTTGATTTTTGTTAATTGCAAAAAAATTTTGCATTACTTAAAATACTGTTTGCTGAAAATCATCTCAATGCGATAATCAGATCAAATACAATAAAATAGCAAATTTGGTTCGATTTACGTGAGACCCTCTAATAAATTTACTGAATATCTTGAGCAGTAACAGTCAAACATGATTAATTTTTAAGTAAATAAATTGTCAGTTGAAACAAATCATTTGAAAATATTAATAATTTTTATTCTGTTCGTGTCAACTATAAACTTTTCATAAAAATTGTGATCAAATCTATTGTGGCATATCAAAGTCCAAGACTGGAATGATTATTATTTGTCTCTTGGTTGTCGGTGAAGATTGGTTAACATGAGTCTTTTAAATTTTATCAAGGATTGGTGGTTGGAAGTTTTACACCCAAAGAAATTTTCTGGTTCATCTCGATCCTTGTTGAGCTTTGACATTGAACGTTCAATGGCCATTATGGGTGTAACAACGCTTAACCAAATCAAATCAATGAGATACTACAAGATTTATGATCTGATTCTCCATTTTATTAACTTGATTAAATATCTGACGCTTTACACGATTTCCAATCCACATTATTTGGTAACAGTAAGCGATTTAACGATTACCTTTGGACAATATCGAAGTTGGGCTTTAAATTTATACTTTTTTACTTATACTGCCATAAGTGGAGTTTGGTATCGATTTGAATTGTTTCCAGCAAATGGAAAATACTTTTCATGGCTAACCTTATACAGCCAAAGTGTTTCACCAAATGAATCACAGAAACCCGAATGGATTCAACTTAAATGGAAAGTCAATCTGATTTGGAATTTATTGCAATATTCGCTCATCTATGGTACTGCTTTGCCCCATTTCGCTCTCCTGGTATCACCTTCAATTTATGCCACCAACGGTTGGCAGTTGATTATTTGCTTAACTTTTAGTTTAATCGCAATGCAGCGGCTGCTTTTCCTCTGCAAAGCCATTGGAAATATATTGTTTTTCTTCAGTACTTTTATGATGATCCTTGATTACAAATTGAAAGTCTGGAGATCATTTAATGAAGGGCTTTTCAAGAGAACTGATTGGGTCAACTATTTAAGAAAATTCATGTCCATTAATCACACTTTTCAGTCGGGTAATCGGGTTTTGTCTCGTATTGCGGGCTTGTTTTATGCCCAAGCGTTTATTACGGTAATCATTAATATGTATATTGTTTTCTTCATAACGACTCCTCTTGGTGTCAAAGTTATGACTACTGTAAGCTTAACTGTGGCACTTTCAATGATTACACTGCCTCCAGTTTTTTGCCGTGCAGCTATTCAATCAGTAAGTTTCTGACTTCTAAATATTGTAAATCATTACATTTGGTCCTCAATTTTTTCCTTACAGAATAAGTTAACCCAAAAGGTGTTGAGAAAAGCTGCTTTCGTGGATGAAAGTTCAATTTCCTTGCGTTTAAAGGCCCAATCAATGATGGAGTTTAACAAACGTTATCCGATTGGAATCACTTTCTTTGATATAACACCATTTGATACTAAATTATTCATCAATGTAAGTAAATTTAATCCTTGTCTTTGTACTTTTCACGCCAAATTGACTCAAAGAAATCTTTTCTGTTGTTCATGAACAGACTTTGTTGGAGATGTCCAGCTATATGTTTCTTCTTGTTATCCAAACTAGACAGCAAGAAAGGAATGAAACTTATAATTAAGATCTTTGTAATCAATCCTCTATTTGTGGTTCCGTTTCCTTTTACAACTGTTATCCCTCTCATTGAATTTGAGGTGATGATAAGAGACTGGAAGCTTTGATGAATATAAATTTATTCATATAATTACATTATTGTAAAATTGTTGCTCTTTGGTATCATTATGTAAATATTATCAAAATACGTTTTGAAACTTATAATAAACATAAAAATAGATTCTTGAAATTTCTGAAATAAAATGCAAAAGTAATTGCCAGCGGTCCAATTGTTAGCATTTTATCTATCCTGAAGATAGAACCTACAAAAAAAAAGATGAAATTTTTTAGGTAAGTTAAATTCAAAGTACTGAATCAGCAGACTTTCATTGACTTACCTGAGTTGGTTGAATGTGTAGATTCTCTAGCTGAACTGATCACATTATTTTGTAGATCTGGGATAAAATCTTTGCCCGAACGGAATAAAACCTCTTCATGGATGGCAACACATTTAAATACAATTTTGGGACCAATTTTGTTGTCAAAAGTTGACCACATATTAAAAAAGCGATCGCTGAGATTGAACCCTAATCTTGAAGTATATTCACCAAAATCTTCATTCTGATATGCTTCTGTCATATCAGCTAATGCCTGGAAGAAAAATTATGTAAATTAATAGAATAATCACAAATTAATTTATTCCAAACACTTTACCTCTTCATTGTTTATCAACCATTTTAGCGTTGGTTTTGTTTTGTGATGAGCTCGAGATTTTACAACTTGACATATCAAGTTTACCAAATCGTTAATTTTGTACATTAATTGATATCCTTTAACCAATATATTAGATTCAACATCTTGGTAAATTGTTAAATTGAAAGTCTTGGTGATTTGATCATCTGGAAAATTATCACTTTGACTGTTGTCTGAAGAAGAAAGAAATTAAAACCATTAATTTAACTAAACAATAAAATTAAATTATTAACCACTGCGATTGAAAGTCAGTTTCCGATAATTACCTTCGCTTTGAGGCTTGAAAAAGTTTGACCTAATGGTCAATTGTAATTGGTCAACGTGAGTTAATAGGAATCGCGATTCACACCGTAAATCAAACTGATTAACAAGAGATCCATATTGGTAAGGTAAAGTTAGCCTTAACCGTGTAACTTCAAGTCCACTCGGATTGTGAGTAACATTGTGTGAAAGATATTGCTCTGGTGAGGGTTGATTATCGATTAACCATGTCAACTGAGTTGATGGTTTGGAAGGATTACTTTTACAAATCAAATCAATCACAGGATAATCACGATAATAACTCCATTTGATCGGTTCAATAGTAGGTCCAGCTTCAGGTAAATCTATATTGTACAAACAGAGAAAATAAAGAAATAAATTCCTTTCAAATCAAGCTTAATCTTAACTTACAATATACTTTGAGGTGTTTCTCTCTAGCAACGGTTTGAAATGAAGGTGCATCAGCTGAAACCTCACATCGATACAATCCTTCAGTTTGAAATGTGCTTTCGGTTAGATAAACATTAGCCGAGACACTTTTGGAAACCTAATTTGTGACAATTTGCATAATAATTAGCAACTCTTAAGTGCATGATGGTATTAGAAACTGGACTTTAATGAGCATACTTTAATATTACTTTAATAATACTTTAGCATCCTCAACTTACATCAATTGATATTCCTGAGGATGGATAATATTGTATTGATGGTTTCTCTGTTGGTAGATATCGATAAAATTCAACATCATTCTTGTACCATTTAATTGAGTAAATTTTGTCAAATCCAGGATCATATGAGCAATTAAGCCAAGTGGATTCACCTCGGTGAACTGACTGAGGTACATGTAGATGAGTCAATTTCAGTGAGTTTGTACAATCTTTGTGATTAATTGATCCCCAGCACCAGTAACAGCAACCAAATTTAATTACGATAATTGACAGTCAATCAGCCAAATAAGCGAAATTTGCAAAGAAAAGGATGGAAAAAAAATTAATTGATTATTATCAAGTCTGATTAACTGACGTTTTAAAAGGCAGATTCATCTTCATTATTAAAGCGAAAAAAATGAATTCATAAATTGGTTTAAACTTAAATGCCAGCTTGGCAATTGTATATTGGATTAAAATTGAATCAACTTAAATTACTTTATCATATTTCATGCTTTTTTATTGAAAGGGAATCTAAGCGGTTGAATATTTTATTGAACCCAGAACTATCTGGATCATCCATGATACTCAATTACTTAAAGTACAAGAAACAAGCTTGATAAAAGTCTTGGACTCTAGATAAACTTACTTCGAAGCGTTCACTTGTGAATTAATTTTACAGATAAGAATGCAAAACTTCACAGTCAAATATGTTGAATAACAAAAAAACACTTGCATCCATTAATTTGTACAGTCATTGGGATGTAAAGCAAAATACTAGATGAAAGAAAGCAAAACAATCTGTAATGTCTCTTACAGTTGATTTAACTCAATAATATGATGATAAGGTGGAGGACAGATCAGAGATGAAAGAAGAGGAAGAAAACATGAAAGATGGATGATGAAAAGGAAGAGAGCTAGAAAGAGATACAATGGTTACAAGTTCCGGTAAATTACGCATCATCCTCGATGATGAGTAATACTATGTTGAGTTATTTATTCACCGAATTGCTGGCCAATATTTTATTCCTTTTATTCTCACTTGGATAATCTTCCTCATCTTTCTATTTTCCTCTCCTTCCTCATCTCTTCTCTCCTCATCCACAGGTTATCCTTGTATCACATTGTATTAAATAAAAGCAACATTTAGTAATGTACAACAAAAGGCAGGCCTAAGCTTTTCCCTCGTCCAAACAATTCATATCTCGAAAAACTTACCTTAACCTTGTATTACGAGCCATTTTAAAGACACAAAAAATTACATTTATCATTTTAGTTGATTCACTAAAGCTGTTAATTCACAAGTCTAACAATAACTGTAAACCTTACAAAATGTTAATCAGACGATTTTGAGGAAACACAGCTCTGGAAACCAATGGACCAATAGGGTAACTAATTGTTAAGACGCGCAACATTTGTATTTTTGAATTACATTTTTTTTATCAATTTGCTCAAATTATTCACTCTTCAAACATCCAAAATCATTACCATTATTATTATCATCATCAGAGTCATCACCATTATCAGTATCACCAGAATAGTCTAAATCACCACAAGAAACATCACAATAACCATCATAATCATTTCCTATTTCAAGATACTTTTCACTTTTCATGTAACCCAAATGTTACCCAAACACATTTACTTTTCTCACCTGAAATGTATTTCATTTTTCATCTCAACAATCAAATATTATCCAAAATGATGAAACCAAATCACAGACAGACAAAAATGTAATTTCAAAGGTTTATCTTGAACAGTTTCACACGAATGTGAACAAATAATTTTGCTTTTCCGTGATCAACTTTTCCATGGTAAACATTAGTTAAGCTCATTATTATTTCATCCTAATCATTGCATCATTGTTATCATTATTATCATGGTTCATCCTGATCAACATAATTCAATTTATTTAACAACAAATGAACGAGTAAAAATATCTACTCAACATAATTAAATTTTTCCTACCTTTCAATGTTAATCTGAATAAAAGCAAAATTCACTTCTTAACACCCAATTTCAACATTGAACAAAAAACAAATTTTTCAACATTCAATTTTTTTCTTCAATTAACAATCAGAATAGCAAATTGACATTGTCTAGATGTCTGTCATTTGAAACAATTTAAGGTTGAACTTACTTTTCAATGTGATCACATTTCCGTAACATTTAGAGTCTCAGTTTACTCTCAATCAATTAATTGTTCATCTCATCTCATTACAATTATTCAATCATCTTTACTTTTCCATCCATTCATCATCATTCTTTTGTCCTTACAACTCAGCCTCCAGATTAAATCAATAATAAAAGCATCACAAGATTATATTTTTGTAGATACATTATGTATTATAATTGTGTGACTCACAACCATTAAGCTTCCCTCAATAATATATTAGCCGTATACTGGATTAGTGTTTATCAATATAATCATCAAATATCCAGTGCTCAGCAATAAATTCAATTGATTGATTATAATGAAGGTAAAAAATTGCTTTTTTTAATCAATCAGCCAATATTTAAACATAAAGCTCCATCTAGAGACTTGTGAAACAATTGTATTCAAATTTTCAGCCATTTTTGTGTTTACTTTGTAAACAAAAGGTGTTTCAATTTTTGTTGCTTATTTCAATTTTATTTTGTTTTATCATTTTTAATAATCTCTCATCTGATTTGTTTAAACTGTCTTTGGATTAAATATTGATAAAATTCATCATTCACTAGATATATTGCCATGTTTTATTTGTTTTCAGTGTTTTGCCTGATATATTAATCGCTATAAAGAAACATCAGCATGCTGTACCTGTTAAGTAATTGTTGAGATTATTTCAAGTAAAAGGTAATCAAAGTAAGAGAAAGGGTTGAAAAGGAATCTTGAAACATTTTTTGCCAAAAGTTATTAGTTGGAAGATGTTGCCATAAAATTAGATTCACCTTTGAGTCTAGCTAAAGGCTATTAGAAGTCTTTGAGTAAAAGTTTTTCTCTCCATGAACTTCAACTCCATCTTCATCATTTTCACCATCTTCATCATCCTCATCTCCATCTCCATCAACTCCAATCATTCTTGTCTTCATCATTATCATCTTACTCATCTTTTAATGTAGTAAATAACAATGTAAAGTGAACCTTTTTTTTTTCTTGAAACTTTCCTCTTTTTTCTTCGCTCTCCATCTTCTTCAACTTTTAATACACCAATTCAATCTGATAATGAAGATGACGGTGATTCATGTAACATTAAACCCAATTAACTGGTTCAATTAAAATTAGGTTTATCAATGGAAGGAAAATAAATGTTTCAAGTTAAGATTAGCTGGTAATTTAAAGTAAACACCAACTCAAGGGAAAGACTGATTTGATTCATTATTGCTTCAACTTCATTATTAGGTATACCATTTATCAAATATAAAAGGGTAACTTTGAATGGTTATACATTGATAAATGTTTAAGTTTAATTTTCAATTTACTTACCCAAGTTAAACAAGAAAATGATAAAAGAGTAAATCATTGAATCCATTGAAATTAGTATTGCGTTTACAACTGTAAAAGACACCGAAATGAAAAACTATTTGACAAATATTTATTGTGACTTAACTGATACAAACATTCAATCACCATAAATCACTTGGTAATATTGAATCAATTTTTACTTTATATAAATAGTTACAATATACATTTGTAATAACTTTGTATGCAAAGATGAGCCATTAATTGGTTTGATTGTCAACTTTGCCTGCAAAAACTGCTCTTTTGTAACAAAGCAAAGTCTTTGGGAATAACCTTGTTCAATAGTTGAATGGCAAATGAATGTAGTAAGAAAAAATATTTGGACAAAAAAGAAGATAAATGCGCAAGATTCAATCATCGGTATCACAATTTTCACCTTTCCGAGTTCAATCCTTTTCCATCATCTTATGCCATTGTGTTGTTGACATTGCAAACAATTTAAACATTGGTCTAATAGCATTTTTGTGTGATATAATCTTGTTCATATCCAAGTGAATCGACTTGATTCAGCTACAATGTGAACAATCAATGACCAATCATTTTTATAATGCACTAAATCTAAACCATTCAAACATTATAAGATTGATATCGTATAGTGTTTGAGTTGAGGTTGGAAATAAATAACAGTGATACAATTGAACAACCGTTGAGTAAATTACAATAATGAATTGTATGAACTGGAAATCTTTGAGTTTTGGTTAGATCGGGTCAATCAAAATATCACTGTTAATTTGAGTGACATGAAACATGTTTACTCTTATATTGGTTGGGTTGGCTAAGAAAACAATGTCAACATTTACAGCAAGTTAAATCAACAATCAATGTGACAAGTCATTGGTTGCTGAAGATGTTCCAGTAAATCCTAGTTTAATTGTTTAGATTAGGTGATGACAACTCCTTTATGGACGCAAGGTCCATTAGGACCTTCCAATAGAGATGGCCATAAGTAGCTCCGAATGGTATTTGAAGATTGGTCTGAGGTATGAAAACGAATGTGTAGATCTTTATCATAAGTTCTAGATCCATATTCAATAACAAAAGGTGTACTTTGGATGGTCAAGGTCCAGGCAAGAGTGATACAATCTTTAATGTACAATAATAAACCATCACAGCTACGTAAACAAGGATAATCATACAATGTGGCACAAATTTGACCTAGAACCTCCTAGAATGACAAAAAGATAAAAAAAATTGACGATTAATAATTTCACTCGTAATTTAAAATAATTATATTTACTTCAACATTGTTTCTTGGATCAAAAGAATCGACAGTCACTCGAAGGTAAGACGATACTGCAGTGTCAATCTCATCGATCGCGGCTGATATCGTTTGACTTTTGGCTGATTCCGTGATTTTGAGTACTTTTTTGATTTGTTGCTTCATTCTGAACAATGTTTGCTCAACTGAACAAAACGAAAGCTGAAAAGGATAAGAAATATATACAAAGAATTATTAATAGGCTGAAGGCTAATGAACTTAAACAAATTTGTCTATATTTAAATACTAACCACAACCAGGGAAAATAACAATTTAGCTTTAAGATCATCCGCATTTTTAAGAGCATTTAGATTGTCTAAAGCATCCAGTGTATCGACTCTGGCCTGAGCATACAGATTACCATACCGGCGAATCAATGCCGTAGGTCGTTTTTCATTGAAACAAAGGTTTTCAAATTTAAATCCTTTTGAAAGCATTTTTTGAGCTTGATCTATACGTAAAGATAAAAAAGAGAAGGAAATACAAGCATTAGAGTCATTGATGAATGTTGAATGAAAAAATTGAATCTAATAATATTATATTGAATGTTGCATTAAAGGTTTTTACCAGCTAATCTATCCTTCAATCGTTGTTCTCGTTCCTTCATCTCGTTAATCATTTGTGTTGCTTCAATTAGCTTGCTTTTCAATAAATTAACATCACCATTCATTGATATTAGACAGTCATGATTGTTTTGTTGGTTGAGAAAATTATAATCATTTTGTGCTAAAAAGGATGATTAAAGGGAGAAAAAAGAAAACAAATATCTTTAATATCATCTTGGTTACTATGTTGAAAATAATGGTCAACACTTTATCATTGAATCCTACCTGACCCATAATTAGCTACTGAATTGGAGGCATCTTTTGGTGAGGAAGGTTCAGATGATGATGTTGATGAGTTTGAAGATGAGGTTGAAGATGATGCTGGAAAGGTTCCTGTTGAATGCACTGGTGATGAAACTGAAGATGAGGTTGAAGATGAAGATGACGGTGATAAAGAATCAGTTGTTGATTTATCATTAAATAGACTTGAGATTGTTTTACGGTTCTTCCGATAATCTGGAGTAAAGAGAAAAAAGCGTAAAATAAAATTAGTTATCATTTGATTAAATTGAAATAGTTTTATAATCGTGATTAATTCAAAGGCAATCTTTCCCTTTAATCTAGACCATTTAAAGTAGCCTTTTCAACTGAATCATGAATCAGTTAAATTAATAGCAAATTAGCTGTTATTCTGTTTTTTCTTTGATTTACATTCACATTTGATTGCTGTGATATTAATACAGAACAAAAAACAGACTGATACTTATAGTTATTAAAGTTATTATTATTATCAAATCACGCAACATGTTAATCAATGGCACAAATAACAATCAATAAAAAAATCAACGCCTAAAAATCACATTTTTTCAATCAAAGTCAAGTTTCATTTTCCCTTTTTATTCAAAATAAATCAACATCCAAATTACGGCAAAAAACAGCAATTTAACCATTTCTCAATCTGATTGTATCTAAACTGTAACCCAAAAAGGCTCATTGGCTAATAAGTTGGATACAAGATTGGATAATTAAAGCATCAATTATGATTGATATGCAATTTTGATTTAAAATAGTCTAATTGATTGAACATTGTTTTATAAGGCAACTCGATTACCTGATGGCAAATTGAATCATTGCTTCAATTTTCATTAATCAATCATTACTGGACCTTAAATCAAAGGAAAGTTGTATTCTTACTGATGATTTAATTCATTGGGTTGGTCGATAATATTAATATTCAATATTATTCATTGGATTAAATTGGTTTTACTTTCACTTTGATTTAACTTGAAAGTTAAACAAATGTTAAATCAAAATATTTGTAAGATCAAGTTCAAGGATGGTTTTGATTATCAAAGGTTAACCCATAACCAGAGTATAAACAAGGAAAGTATAAATTGGATTGAAACGCAAATTAATTAGAAGCTAACAAATTCAAATAAGATTGTTGAATCAATTTGAAATCATTAACTGTCCAATAAATAATACAATTAAGCCTTGCTTGTTGATGGTAATGTTTAAAGTCAAGTTGTTTTTGCTGGTGATCAGGAAACGTGACCCGGTAGTGCTGGTAGCAATGAAACTTGATTGATAGTCTATTATAATTAAAGTTGCTACTTGATAATCTGACCTTTTTTGATTCTCTGAATCTTTCTGAATCTTTATCAATCTTTCAACCCACAAAATAAACCCCTTAAGCCAGAAAATGCGTAACATTAAACTTTCCAGGTTATCAACTTTTCATTTTGCCAATTTTTGACCTTCTCCATTTTTATACACATTTGGCCATCTTTTAATCTAATCACAATGAGAAATGAGAAGTTAGATATTGAAATAATAATCAAAATTGGGTTTAATAATAGTCTGACATTGTTAATGAAAGATATCAACTCAATTGTTTCATTAACCTCAACTTATTTCCCTCAATCAACTAAAGGGTGTTCAATGTAGTAACTTCTTTTCTGTTTTATCCTTTGCTATTGCTATTTTAAATTAACTAATTTTAACTGATAGAAATTGTTTTTATTATCTTTCCCAGGTAAATTAGGTGAGATTGTGATTAAGATGATTTCTTTGTTTTTTAATCAGAGTTGAGTTGATTATGATGGATCACAATCAAGCTGTGTGTTAAACGAGTCACATTAATCACAAATTGTAATGCAAGGGTAAATGCATTGGTTAGTGTAAGAATGTAACTAACAATGTTTAGCCTGGCCCAAAGGTTATCAAGCTATATTAATATCTAATTGATTAGATATTCATCAGATTGATTGATATGATAGGTAATTGATTATAAAAGTTATTCAACTTGATTCTCACGGCTGCTATCCATAATACATATTGTAATGTATTAATATTGAATGTGAAAGAAAAATAAATAAATATGTTAAGTTTTGGTTAATGTTTGTTGAGTTTGTTGATCAATCATTGAAATGTTCAAACCAAGGTAATGCAAGTTATCAGTCCTGTCAAAATATAAACTGAAAAATTCAATTTATCTCATTCTCAGGTATTATCATGAATGACCTTTAACTCGTTTTATTATCAGATCATTTCGTAAATCCTGACGCACAAAGTTAACTCATAATGCATTCCAAACGATATCCAAACGAGGGAGGAAATTAAAATGTAAAAATAAAGGTTAAAAATTGAATTTTCAAGCACAAAAAGCTCAAATTTGAATCAAACAGATCATCTAAATTCAAATTGAGATTCAACAATCAGTTTAACCTTCCACTCTTGCCAGTATTAAAATGATGGTCAAAATATTGACTAAATTTCAATAAATAATCTAATTGAAAATCCTTATCTTTGTTGCTAAAGGCAGAAAATTAAATTTTTTGTTTCAAAAGACATTGGGATTTGACCCAAAGAGTAAAGAAGACTTCCTTTACTCTTTGATTTGACCATTATTAGACATTGGCTATTGGCTTGAAGGAGTTTACATCATTAAGCCTCCTGATGCTTTCAAGAAACCAAAATATTCCAAGTCAAGTTGAACTAACCTGACCGGTGGATTATCGTATCATATTTTTCCGCTTTATGACAACTAATAGTGAAATAATGGTCGTTATTTGGACTAGCTGGTTCAGATCCACTGTGATAATCTGAATTATCACTCTTATCATCTTGCTTTTTACCAGAATCAGGTTTTAGTTCAGATTTAAGATTTGAATCCTTGTTGGTGCTTTCGAATTGCTCAGTTACTTTGGTTGTTGAATCGATTGAATCCTCATCTGAATTTATTGTTTCATTTGGTGGGACAATTTCATTGATTAAATTGAGTACCTGAAAAAAATGCAAAAGGTAAATATTAGCACAAAATAATATGGAGAACGATTAAAGATTGAAAATAATTGGAAAATATTATTATGACTTGAATTACACAACAATTTGAGACTAAATGAAATACAAAATCAAATTGGGTTCAAAAAATTTTACATTCTGAGCTCGTCACTTCTGATTTTGTGTTCTGTGAGCAGTAATTAAGTTTAATAACTAAAACGATAATATGACTAAACCCTGAAGCTTATTTTTAGCTATTAGAATTAGTTATTAAAGTAATCAAACAAGAAATTAATTGTTTTACAAGTTTTTCTTAGGAAATTATGTTTTCAGTTAGCTTTTTGCTCTTAAATCAGTGAGCAAGTTGAAAATATCAATAAAAAAATCAGTTCAAGAATATTAATTGCCGTAATCCATGATCTTTGGTGGATATTTACTCTTTAAATTAATTTGATGTATCTATTCAACACTTTTATATTGACCCTGTCACCGCTGAAAATTAATTGATTGTTCATCTCAGACTCTATCTTTGATTGTTGGCTATACAATACTTACTTGATTGTAACCATAAGCAAATATGGTTAAAACTGGTAAGATGGAGGAAACGGAATCATTTGATCCTGAAGTTCGAGGTCTTTTGGTATTAAACTCTTTTCGAAGCTGATTAAATTGGGACAAAACTTGTTTATCATAGTTGATTCTTTGTTGAAGGGTTAATAATAATTCTTGAAGAGATTGATTACAAGCTGTAATTGGCTCGACAGCATTAAGAAGAACTTGATTTTGAATGAGACGATCTTGAAGCTCTTCCAATTTGAGACTTGCTGACTTTTGATTTAAGGTGTTATTACAATTAACACTATTCTGTACACCATTAATATTGTTTCCATTATTTCCACCACAATTATTAACGGAATTTAATCTTGCAGCTGAGGTTAATGAAGTTGCTCTGGAAATTGATCTAAGTATTGCGGTCCTTTTTGATTGATTGCTTGGTTCTTTAAGATTCTCTAATCGGAGTAAAATATCTTTATAATGGTCAATTACGGAAATAATTTCAAGGCGGAGAGCATCATGTAAACTAGTTAATGACTGGTCAACAGCACCAACCAAACCATGATTACTTAAGCCTTGAAGAGCTTCATCCAGTGATGCTTTACGAGTTGCCAAGTCTTTACGTGTCAATGGTTGATAGGTCATAATGATCTGAATAAGGTGAAGTAAAAAGGTAAATATTGTTAGTGACAAAAGGACAAAAACAGGCTTTTGAAGTGTTTACTGAATGAAATTTATTGAATTTTCTAATATTTCCTCATAACCGGTTCAAAATTTGCTAAAATTTATCAAACAAATTGTCACATTGCAAATTTTTATTGTTGGTAAACAAGAATGAGGAATAGAAATGTATTCCTGGTTTCTGTTAATGGTAATGATAATTTACCATAAAGTCAAAAATAGTGACAAAATTTGAAATTATCCAGAGTACCCTTTAAGAGAAAAATTTTCCGTTCATTTTGTGATTTTTTACACCATCTAAATCAGACTTGCTTTAATGACAAATTGACCTTATACTTCCTGATCATTTGAGATCATTTTCAATAACTTGTTTGATTATCAAACAGGTATAACTCAATAATGAGCGAGCGAAAAGGATGGAGAGTAAAATTAGCGAAATGAATGTTGATGAAAATTTAATGACTTGCTAAGTGAAAATTTTTTTCTCTTTTCCAATTTTGGCACTTAATTCTGGATAAACATTGGATTAGCTGTAAAGAAACTGGCACTTACTTTGAGTATCTTTTTTGATGAAATGATGACGGGATGATTAGAGTCAAATTTTTCTCTCATCGCAGGAAATGAATTCTTGTTTAACCTACTAGATCCTTTCCCATTGGGTTTCATTGGCTTTTGAAGGGCAAAGAGTTTAACTAAATTAATCACAAATCTTTCCGGCTGTAACAGCTCATTGAATGGTATATCAGCTTGTAGTTGTTGATCGAGCGTATCAAACCGAGAGTAGATCATTTCCAATATCTTCACTGATCCTGGAAAGGTAGCCATTAAAGATCCTATAGAAAGCTCTTTGATAACTTTAGCGAAAGTTGACTGAGACAATTTTTCGATGAATTTGGAGGCTTCATCAAATTGTAAATTGTCATGTAAAATCATTATACGTCTGGTACATAATGAACTATTGGCTTCTTTTCTGGTCAACTTGTATTCCCCACCAAAAGATTCCATTGGTTGTACATCAGTAACTGGTGCTGTTACCCAATCATTGCGAACCAGTTTAGAGACTTTGTTGGTTGAACCAGATATTGGCCTTTGATTGTCGACTGTTGGAACCGTTTGTTTAATTAAATTGGGATTATTAGATAAGAAAACACTTTTATTAATTGAATTCAACTTGTTGTTACTTTTGAAGCTGTTGATGTTGTTGTTGTTAAAGCAGACGTAATCTTTATTGGCGCCATTTACACTAGCAAGAGGGAAAGGCATTTTGACTGATGATATCACTTTGTTAACAAACACATTGTTTGTATTAATCACTGGTTCAAATGTTTGGGTTGCTCTGTTTGTATTCAACTCCAGTTTATTTGTTTCATTATAAATTGGCATTTTTATAGATCCATAAGATGGTCTTATTTATATATTTTAAAATATTATCAAAGACACAGTAAACAGTATTTTTTGATGATGTGTTGATGCATTAACTTCCATACTACTCTTATCGGTACCATTATTCAAATGAGGACAACACAAATTCAAATAAATGTAAGTATTTTTAAGACTTTCGAAGTATATCTTTTAATTTAACTTTGTTTCAATGTATGTTTAGTCTTGCACAGTTAAGTTAGTGAATTTCAACTGACAGTTGAACTAGAGTTGAAAGTATTTCAATTTAATATTGCAGGATAGAGTTGTCTGACTAGTTGTTGGAAGGTTGGTGTGAGAGCTTAAAGTGAAACTGATCTTATTTTTCGTTTGTAAAGTATACTATTGATTGATATGAAGCTAATATAGATGCTATAGCTACTTGTTCAGCAGTTGCATATTATCATAAACAGCAAAGTTTAGGGGTTAACTGCAGGCGATTTAGTTGAAACACCAATAATGAAATGAAATAGTCGATTGATCAAACAACTAGTGGTGATGAAGATGCTAAAGGAGATGAGTTGTGAGTCAGGAAACTTGAAGAATCGTGAGGCAAACCTGATTTATATCATGAAAAGGTAATTTAATTTTCATTTAATTCTAACATTTAAATCCGTCGAGAATTGAACTCATAGATCCTTGAAAATCTAGGTTTTGTCAAAAACAATTTCTATGTAAAATATGAACAATTTCAACCGCCAGATTAGACGATTTCAGATGGCCCGAAAGCAAAAGCTAAAAACGATTAAGATACATATAAAAGCCAGAAATTTTAGAGAATCTGCCCTTTAAATGTTTAACATGAGACCATTTCGGTTTTGCCTCAAACAAAACGGCCATCAGGATAAACTCTTTACCATTTAAACCGCTTATCATCCATAGATTTGGGTATAAAAGTCAATGTGAGTTTGGACAAGAGTATCATTGTTTCAATTTCACTTGCTTGTGCACTTCAGTTCTCATCTCTAAGTCATTTCTATTTGTTACTCTAGTCTTTGTCTTACCTAGACATATTCAAAGTATCATCATGGATATTAAATCGATTCTCGTTTATATTTTCTTCATGGTCCATTTCTCAAATGCCAATATTCTCACAGGTAAGTCTTTGTTCTAATGTTTTTGTTCTTTTTGATTCTTATTACTTGTGAATATCAACTAACCATGCTCTGCTTTATTTTGTTCTATTCAACAGATTGGTACTCTAGTTTAAATAAAAATATCAATAAAGCAGCTAATTATGGTGAAGAAATGCTAAAGTCAAAAGGTGAATTGTACATACAACCAGCTAAGCCGACACCTAAATCTGTCTACAAGCCTGTTGAACCCTTGGTTGAAAAGAAAGAAAAAGAACTTCAAGAAATTTGTAATTTAACCTTAAAAAAGTCTGATATTGTGATACTTACAATGGTCATGAAAGAAAAGAGGAAAGCTTTCGAGCCAATTTTCATTGATCCCAAAACATTGGAATTGAGCTTTAGAGTTGAAAAAGGCAAAAAGGTTTCATCTTTAATAGGTGCTCTCAGCACGATTAAAGTCCACAAGAAATTTGGCCTCGAAAAAATTCCCATCAACTTACAAGTGCCACACAAAATATTGTCCAAATTACCAAAGTTGAGTAATGATGACTATGTAATATTAACAATCATCAGACAAAACAAAGGAAAACCAGCAAAAGTCGTTTCTCACTTTGTGGATACAATAAGTGTTGCTCCAACACATGATAAATCATATTAACAAAAGTATCAAATGAAATATATTGAATTGTAAATTTTGTTAGACTTTAAATCGGTCTAATTATTGTAAGCCTTTCTACTGTGCCAATGAATAATAAATATAAAATGTAAATTAACAAAAATTTGAAATTTCTTTATTATCAATATCATATTGGATGAGCGTAAGAAAATTTTAGATACTACAGATTTTTCTTTTAGTTAGTTTTTTTAGTTTTTGGTTTTTGGTTTACAATAGCAAGCATCACTTACTCCTGGTCCACCACAAATTACACATCTTCCTTGATACGAACCATAATAACATTCATCACATATTCTGACAACGTTGAAGGGCGAACATAACTGTCACAAATGAATTTAGTCAATATCCAGTGCTGCCATCTAATGATCTATATTTCATAATGAAATATATTTATTTCCAATGAATCATTAGTAATGATGAACCTAGAATGTTAGTTGTAGGTGTATTACCATTCGCGAAATATCGATGTTCCAAGTTTTTAGGTTAACTCTGCTGGTCACAGAATGCGAAATATTTAATTGAAAATCGAACTTGTTATCCAAAAACAAAAAGTTTTATTTATCAAAGTAAGTGCATTTTCTGGTTTACCACTAAAACTCACATCACAAAAGTCATATCACAATAATAGTCATCTTTTATTGAAAATCGTCTCTTTTATCCTTTCAACTTTCATGAAGGATTTACTATCTATAAATGGGTTTTGATTACTTATTTCTTTATTTTACAGAGGAATTATTATTTCTGGCGGTCCTGGCTCCGTTTATTCCAACGATTCACTACCCTATGACGAAGATATCTTCTTCTTGGGTAGTCCAGTCCTTGGGAAGTTTTGGTAAGTTAGCTCTTTAATTTTTGAAATCGTATTTTATTTCAATGTAAATACAGCAAAACCTCGTATATTTTGCCTTTTTTGAGTGTGGACATCTAACGTTCAAAAAAATAGAATGAGTGTGCTGCTCTTCTACACAAGGCTTTGAAACCTGATCAAGTTATAGCCTTTCATATACATTTAGATAATGGTTTTATGCGTGAGACGAAAGCGACCAAGTTGAAAAATCACTTAAATGTCTCGGCTTAAATCTTAAAGGTAAATTGTGATCTGAGAAATTACTGTATTATATCTTTTAACATTCTCATTTAATCTCATTTATTTTAGTTATCAATGCTTCTTATCAATTTTACAACGCATCTACAACTGTTCCGGTGAACAGACAAGATCCAAGTCGAAAAAAGGCAACCGAAATACTCTGTCAGACAACAAATCCAGAAGAAAAAAGGCAAATCATTGGATATACTTTTGTTAAAATACCTGACGAGATTGTTAAAGATCTCAATTTAAAAGCTGAAGACGTTTTTCTTGGTCAAGGAACCCTACGACCCAAAGAGTAAAGGAAGCCTCCTTTACTTTTTGCTACGACCTGATTTAATAGAAAGCGCTTCAAAGTTAGCTAGTTCTAATGCAGTGGGGCGTACTTAGTGGGACTTATCGGGACATAGCAAAAATGTGATAGTAAATGTGCCATTTGTGACAGTTATGTTCGCCCCTCAACATTAGTCAGAATATGTGATGAATGTAATTATGGTTCGTATCAAGGACGATGTGTAATTTGTGGTGGACCAGGAGTAAGTGATGCTTACTATTGTAAACCAAACACTAAAAGAAAAATCTGTAGTATCTAAAATTTTCTTACGCTCATCCAATATGATATTGATAATAAAGAAATTTCAAATTTTTGTTAATTTACATTTTATATTTATTATTCATTGGCACAGTAGAAAGGCTTACAATAATTAGACCGATTTAAAGTCTAACAAAATTTACAATTCAATATATTTCATTTGATACTTTTGTTAATATGATTTATCATGTGTTGGAGCAACACTTATTGTATCCACAAAGTGAGAAACGACTTTTGCTGGTTTTCCTTTGTTTTGTCTGATGATTGTTAATATTACATAGTCATCATTACTCAACTTTGGTAATTTGGACAATATTTTGTGTGGCACTTGTAAGTTGATGGGAATTTTTTCGAGGCCAAATTTCTTGTGGACTTTAATCGCGCTGAGAGCACCTATTAAAGATGAAACCTTTTTGCCTTTTTCAACTCTAAAGCTCAATTCCAATGTTTTGGGATCAATGAAAATTGGCTCGAAAGCTTTCCTCTTTTCTTTCATGACCATTGTAAGTATCACAATATCAGACTTTTTTAAGGTTAAATTACAAATTTCTTGAAGTTCTTTTTCTTTCTTTTCAACCAAGGGTTCAACAGGCTTGTAGACAGATTTAGGTGTCGGCTTAGCTGGTTGTATGTACAATTCACCTTTTGACTTTAGCATTTCTTCACCATAATTAGCTGCTTTATTGATATTTTTATTTAAACTAGAGTACCAATCTGTTGAATAGAACAAAATAAAGCAGAGCATGGTTAGTTGATATTCACAAGTAATAAGAATCAAAAAGAACAAAAACATTAGAACAAAGACTTACTCGTGAGAATATTGGCACTTGAGAAATGGACCATGAAGAAAATGTAAACGAGAATCGATTTAATATCCATGATGATACTTTGAATATGTCTAGGTAAGACAAAGACTAGAGTAACAAATAGAAATGACTTAGAGATGAGAACTGAAGTGCACAAGCAAGTGAAATTGAAACAATGATACTCTTGTCTAAACTCACATTGACTTTTATACCCAAATCTTTGGATGATAAGCGGTTTAAATGGTAAAGAGTTTATCCTGATGGCCGTTTTGTTTGAGGCAAACTGAAGAGTTCAATCTTTCATGCTTAATATTCCTAATCGTTTTATTTCCAGATATTAATATGCATGTTTATGGTACGAAGTAATTCTTCATGTACAATTGTTACTGTACAGAACCAAGTGAACTCAGAAAAACGAATGAAAATTAGTTTCTTTCAAAGTTAGACTTTGCTAGTTTGTAACTCGATGAAGACCTTTCAACAAAGATGGCCATAAGTAGCTCCGAATGGTATTTGAAGATTGGTCTGAGGTATGAAAACGAATGTGTAGATCTTTATCATAAGTTCTAGTCCCATATTCAATAACAAACGGTGTACTTTGGATGGTCAAGGTCCAGGCAAGTGTTATACAATCTTATATGTACAATAATAAACCATCACAGCTACGTAAACAAGGATAATCATACAATGTGGCACAAATTTGACCTAGAACCTCCTAGAATGACAAAAAAATCAAAATAAAACATTCAATGATTAATAATTTCACTGGTAATTATAATTGTAAAATAATTATATTTACTTCAACATTGTTTCTTGGATCAAAAGAATCGACAGTCACTCGAAGGTAAGACGACACTGCAGGGTCAATCTCATCGATTGCGGATTTAAATACTGAAGTAGTGCAACTAGGAATCGACACATTCAGATTTAATAGTTCAAATGAAATTCGAGACAGAATGTCTAGACTTAAAGGCACCATTTTATCAGGTATCGAGCCAGCAACCTAACACAAGCTGAATATGAAATTCGAAGTCAATTGGTCAGTGATTGGTCGACTATGTCTTCATTAAGTGAATCATTGAGAGGACAAAATTTAAGCAAAACTTGAAGACCAAACAGCTAGTTGGTGAAAAATCTCAAAGAAAATAAGGTTAAATATCAAAACTTGAAAAATTTGACAAAGATTGTTTTCACTGACAAACATAGCAACAGTAGCTAGTTATGGTATATGATTAGGGCTCAATTAATGAAAATTGAAAAAATAATTCTCTAACGAATCTGATTGCTGAACAATTAGCAAAACAATTTATGTGTCAATTTTTGGTTGCACTACCTTAACCACAACCAGGGAAAATAACAGTTTAGCTTTAAGATCATCCGAATTTTTAAGAGCATTTAGATTGTCTGCAGCATCCAGTATATCCACTCTGGAGCATACAGATTACCATACCGGCGAATCAGTGCCGTAGGTCGTTTTGCATTGAAACAAAGGTTTTCAAATTTAAATCCTTTTGAAAGCATTTTTGAGCTTGATCTATACGTAAAGATAAAAAAGAGAAGCAGAGATTCTTTCTGCAATTGAAATCATCTGATACTCAGTGATATTGAAGATAAAGGATGAAAAGAAACTAATTTTTATTCGTTTTTCTGAGTTCATTTGGTTCTGTAAAGTAACAATTGTACATGAAGAATTACTTCGTACCATAAACATGCATATTAATATCTGGAAATAAAACGATTAGGAATATTAAGCATGAAAGATTGAACTCTTCAGTTTGCCTCAAACAAAACGGCCATCAGGATAAACTCATTATGATTTAAACCGCTTATCATCCATAGATTTGGGTATAAAAGTCAATGTGAGTTTGGACTAGAGTATCATTGTTTCAATTTCACTTGCTTGTGCACTTCAGTTCTCATCTCTAAGTCATTTCTATTTGTTACTCTAGTCTTTGTCTTACCTAGACATATTCAAAGTATCATCATGGATATTAAATCGATTCTCGTTTACATTTTCTTCATGGTCCATTTCTCAAGTGCCAATATTCTCACGAGTAAGTCTTTGTTCTAATGTTTTTGTTCTTCTTGATTCTTATTACTTGTGAATATCAACTAACCATGCTCTGCTTTATTTTGTTCTATTCAACAGATTGGTACTCAAGTTTAAATAAAAATATCAATAAAGCAGCTAATTATGGTGAAGAAATGCTAAAGTCAAAAGGTGAATTGTACATACAACCAGCTAAGCCGACACCTAAATCTGTCTACAAGCCTGTTGAACCCTTGGTTGAAAAGAAAGAAAAGGAACTTCAAGAAATTTGTAATTTAACCTTAAAAAAGTCTGATATTGTGATACTTACAATGGTCATGAAAGAAAAGAGGAAAGCTTTCGAGCCAATTTTCATTGATCCCAAAACATTGGAATTGAGCTTTAGAGTTGAAAAAGGCAAAAAGGTTTCATCTTTAATAGGTGCTCTCAGCGCGATTAAAGTCCACAAGAAATTTGGCCTCGAAAAAATTCCCATCAACTTACAAGTGCCACACAAAATATTGTCCAAATTACCAAAGTTGAGTAATGATGACTATGTAATATTAACAATCATCAGACAAAACAAAGGAAAACCAGCAAAAGTCGTTTCTCACTTTGTGGATACAATAAGTGTTGCTCCAACACATGATAAATCATATTAACAAAAGTATCAAATGAAATATATTGAATTGTAAATTTTGTTAGACTTTAAATCGGTCTAATTAATGTAAGCCTTTCTACTGTGCCAATGAATAATAAATATAAAATGTAAATTAACAAAAATTTGAAATTTCTTTATTATCAATATCACATTGGATGAGCGTAAGAAAATTTTAGATGCGACATATTTTTTCTTGTAGTGTTTTGAATCTTTCCGTCCTTTCGTGTTAAAATAAATAGTTGAGTGTTTATTTGAAATCCGTGTACGGCATCAGGTTCACCTTTTCTTGAATCCATATTTTTTCCTTTCATAGAACAGATCAGTTTTAGATGATCCTAGATTAACTATCTTTGGACAACCATCTCGATCTTTCTCTTGAATCGTACATTGTTTACAATAGTAAGCATCACTTACTCCTGGTCCACCACAAATTACACATCGTCCTTGATACGAACCATAATTACATTCATCACATATTCTGACTAACGTTGAGGGGCGAACATAGCTGTCACAAATGACACATTTACCATCACATTTTTCACATAACCTTCCAATGGCAACTCCAGATTGTTTTCTGCAAAAGATCAAATCAGGATGATGTTTAGCCATATCGAAAATTTGAAATAATCCAAACCTGTAATAGTACAATAATAATAATAAGATAAGTTGCCGACTTTAAATGTTTTTCAACACCAGATGATTTTAGGTTAACATTGTGAAGTTCACATTTTTGATAGTAATGCCATCTAACGTTCTTCTTCTCAACTCTCACTTTTGCAAGTCTTTCTGGTACTGAGAGCCATTCTTTTCTGTATGATTGTATGAATCTTATTTTTCTTTTCATGCAAAATGTTGTAATAATTATAAAACTATTCTAGTTATAAGAACCTAATTTTGTCCTTCATTTAACCCCCAATTGACTCAATCGTCTTATTTTCTGCAATTGTATCAACTTTTGTTAAGAAAAACTGTCGGCGGTTTATTCGATGAACTCTGCTGCATCGCTTGTGTGATAAAAAGGAATGTGTATGTTACAATTTTGAAAAGGGAGAAACCAAAAAGAGGATAATAAGACAATACCATCAGTCAATTTATTTTTTAGGTAAGATCATTAATTCAATTCAATCTTGTGATGATCAACGATCACCATGCTTATCTCTGCCATATTTTACCCTCTTCTTATCTTTCAATGTTAAAGGACTTGATTAACTCATCATATTTTGATGCCACCTCCTTGAGGTATCAAGTTAGCTTCTTTTGCTTTGCTTCTCTCTCTCTCTCTCTCTCTCTCTCTCTTTCTCTTTCTCTCTTTCTTTCTTGCTTGTTTCTTTTTCATTTTTTACTTATGCTCTTTTTGAAGCAATTGTGTTATAATTTTACTTTATCTTAATATTCATCTCTAATCTTTATCATGATGATCTCCTTCATCTTCAATATCACTGAGTATCAGATGATTTGAATTGCGATAACATTCAATTGCTTTCCATTATACATTTTGTTTATACTTAGTGACATCAACTGTTTACTCCGCCTCATTCTCTTGAGACAGATTTAACTGAACATCTGAAGTAATCGCTTGTTATTTTGTTTTTATTTTTCTATCCTTTAGCTGTGCTACTCCGTGGAATCCCAGTCACATATTCACATCATCTTAATTGAAAGTCAATCCTCTTTGAATAGATTTGTTATTCCTTCAATCAATGGATACCAGCGAAAATATTCCAACTGCTGTTGTCAATGGTATTAACCATGTGGAAAAAGTTGCCATTCTCGATGCTGGAGCTCAATATGGTAAAATTATTGACCGGCGAGTCCGTGAACTTAATGTCGAGTCATTCATTCTTCCTCTGAATACACCGGCCAAACAATTGGAGACGGAAGGATACAAGTAAGCTATCACCTGATTCAGCATCCAATTTTCAGTCCATTCCGTTATTAGCTACACGCGTTATTAAGCCATAATAGTTTTCTTCAAATTTAGCTGTCACATCAAGTTCACTCGTTTCTATGTCACCCGTAATTTTTGATTGAAAATATTGTTTTCCCTCATTTTTGTGATCTTTCAACTCATTTTTTACATTAGCAAGCTTCATTTACCCTTCATTTCTCTTCTAACTATTCTTAATTTATTTTTCAATCTAAAAGACTACTCATTCAAGTTATCGTGTAGCATTGATTAGAATAGATTATCTCAGATTAATATCGAGGCAATATCAACGAAACTTGAAGTACACTATCTGATTTCTAAACCTTTTCGTTCAAGAGTAAATGTTTTTCTCTCATATCTATCATATCTATCTTTTTTTAATCTTATCGGCTTATTATCACTCACATTTGATTGAAAATCGTCTCTTTTATCCTTTCAACTTTTTCATGAAGGATTTACTATCTATAAATGGGTTTTAATTACTTATTTCTTTATTTCACAGAGGAATTATTATTTCTGGCGGTCCTGGCTCCGTTTATTCCAACGATTCACTACCCTATGATAAAGATATCTTCTTCTTGGGTAAACCAGTCCTTGGTATTTGTTATGGACTTCAGATGTTAAATAAAGAGTTCGATGGTACTGTCGATAGGGACCAAGCTCGAGAAGATGGTCAATATAAAATTAAACTGGATAACAAATGTCCTCTATTCAAGTAAGATAGAGATACTGAATTTACTTGCAAAATATTTAACTCATGTAATAATTTTACTTTTACAGAGGACTCAATGAGGAAGAAGAAGTACTCCTTACTCATGGAGATAGCATTAGTCAAATTGCAAAAAATTTCAAAGCAATAGCGCACTCTAAAAATATCGTTGCAGGTAGCTATTGAATTAGTTGATTATCCTTTTTTTGTATTTAAAATGTCAATTTAAAAGCAAATATTTACTTTCTGTCTTCTATTTACTCGACAGGCATTGCTGACGAACAAAAAGGATTATATGGTGTGCAATTTCATCCTGAAGTTGATTTAACACCCAAAGGAAAACAAATGATTAAAAACTTTTTATACGAAATTTGTGGTTGTACCGGCTCTTACACCATGCAGAGTCGTGAAATAGAGTGTGTTGAGTATATTAAAAAATCTGTTGGAAGCAGTAAAGTTTTGGTAAGTTAGCTCTTTCATTTTTGGAATCATATTTTATTTCTATGTAACACATTTAATTCATTTTTATTTCAATTTAACAGATGCTCGTTAGTGGTGGTGTCGATTCAACTGTTTGTGCTGCTCTTCTACACAAGGCTTTGAAACCTGATCAAGTTATAGCCTTTCATATAGATAATGGTTTTATGCGTAAAGACGAAAGCGACCAAGTTGAAAAATCACTTAAATGTCTCGGCTTAAATCTTAAAGGTAAATTGTGAACTCAGAAATTAATGAATTATATCTTTTAATATTCTCATTTAATCTCATTTTATTTTAGTTATCAACGCTTCTTATCAATTTTACAACGCATCTACAACCGTTCCTGTGGACAGAAAAGATCCAAGCCGAAAAAAGGCAACTGAAATACTCTGTCAGACAACAAATCCAGAAGAAAAAAGGCAAATCATTGGAGATACTTTTGTTAAGATAGCTGATGAGATTGTTAAAGATCTCAATTTAAAACCTGAAGACGTTTTTCTTGGTCAAGGAACCCTGCGACCTGATTTAATAGAAAGCGCTTCAAAGTTAGCTAGTTCTAATGCAGATGCTATTAAAACACATCATAACGATACAGATTTAGTACGACAATTGAGGGATCAAGGTCGAGTAGTTGAGCCATTAAAAGATTTCCATAAAGATGAAGTCCGTGAGCTTGGAAGAAAGTTAGGCTTACCAGAAGAATTTGTTCAACGACATCCTTTCCCTGGACCTGGACTAGCAGTTCGTATTTTATGTGCTACTGAACCTTTTATGGGACGAGATTTCTCTGAAACTGCCGTTCTTGTTAAAGTTATTGTCAACTACAGTAATGCCTTAAAGAAGGTAAATATCAATAGCTTCAATCCTTTCTATTGTGATTAAGGGAAAATTTAAAAATTTTGAAATATCATCGATTTGAAATGTTAAATTTATTTTTCCCATCTAAATATTAATCAATCTAACACATCTATACATCTATTATATTTTATTTACAGAAACATGCTCTTCTTAATCGGGTACAAAACGCAACTACTGAAGAAGAAAGAGAATTCCTTGTCAACTTAGGGATAAAATATAAACTAACATCATCATTACTTCCCATAAAAAGCGTCGGTGTTCAAGTAAGTTTAATCAAGTCTTTTTGTAAATGTTTTTTCAATTCTAATTGTATTATTTTCTGTTTTTAGGGAGACTGTCGTTCTTATAGTCATGTCGTGGGTCTTTCAAGCGAAGAACTCCCAACTGATTGGGAAGATTTGATAACTTTAGCAAAAATAATTCCTCGTATCTGTCATAATGTCAATAGAGTTTGCTACATCTTTGGGGGTGTGGTGACCTTCCCTGTACAAGATGTTACACCAACTTATTTAACTCCTCAAGTTTTGAGCACTCTGAGAGAATGCGATTATATTGCTCAAACTCAATTAGCAGCATCCGGTTATTACAATAATATAGCCCAAATGCCAGTAATATTGATACCAATCCATTTTGATCGAGATGTCGCATCCAGACAACCATCTTGTCAACGATCCGTAGTGTTAAGAACACTCATTACAGAAGATTTTATGACTGGTATACCAGCAGTACCAGATAAGCATTTACCTTTAGAGGTAAGTACTTTTATTCAATATAATTAACTGTCAATTTAATATCTAACCTTTTTCTCTTTTTTATATTTTCTTATAGCTAATCAAGCAAATTGTCGATGCTGTGTCACAGGTTCATGGTATATCTCGTGTATTATACGATTTGACTCCTAAACCACCTGCAACCACTGAATGGGAATAAATGAGATTAAAATTAAAGAATACAATTTGTGCGAAGCAAAAAAGAAAAAATATCTAGATTAACTTTTAAATTAAATTAACAGTCAATTTTCTCTTCTTTTGTAAATACAAATGAAAATCAATTAAAAAAACAAATGGTATGGACAAAATTGACTGAAATTAAGAATTAAAAAAATGAGAATGCATCTGGATAAACTTTTTTGTCTGTAAATTTCTAATCATCTTAAAAGTGGAATAAAAATCGATAATAAGCTATTGATTCTCATTTTTCCATTATTGATAGTTCACCTTTAAATACAATTGTATTTATGTATTTCAATTTAACCAAAGAGGTGGCTAAACGTTCAATTTCCAACTAATTCAGTAATGCATACTAATCAGTCGATCACTACTGCTCTTTCGAAAAAGACGTCGCCTATGAGTCTAGAGCTCTAGATTTTGATTACTGCATTGACTTTTCAGTTGTTTATTTTTTTAAACTTGGCTCTTGAAATCTTACTTTCTGCTCAAATAGACTCAACAAATGTGCCATCAAAATTGAATGGTCAAATGGATGGCATCAATACAAAGGCAACGAAATGTTTATTTTTTTAATAAAAAAACTGTCCTTTAATTACTATAATTTCAATAACAGAATTGATCTATCTAATTCTGATAGAGGATAATGAAATATTTTATAAACCAATCAATCGTCGTATCCGATTGATCAAAATTAAAACGCATTAATGTGCAAAAATGTTTAACTCTGAAACAGTTGTAAATGACAAGCTGTTAGCTCTTGTGGCTCCCTCTACTCTCTACTCTTTACTCTGCTTGAGTTGACTCTGCTTTAGGTTAGTTTGAAAAAAGATAGGCCTTAAGTTAATTTGTGTTTATTAATCAACTTTTATTCAAAGGTTTCGGTTGCAAGGTTCTAACTGAATCATTATTTATTATTACAAAGGAACCTTGATCAACCGGCTGAGATGTCGTCAACCGGAGTTTTACCCTTCGTCCGAGGTATTGACCTCAGTAGGAATAATTTCCAGGTAAAAATATTTTCATCCTCATCTTTACGTCTCTTTTGCTTATATCTTACCTATTCATATCTCAATGTCAATTTTTCTTTTACTGACCGCGCTTATGTTTATCTTCTCTAGTCCCTCTGTTATTCATTTTTCTTGATTAATCACTTTTAATTGATTGACTTACTCAATTTTGATTGTTTTCATCCATCTTTCGTTGTTCTCTAATTATGGATAAAAGTGTTTATACCTTGTTACTTATTAATATTTTGGTGATCTTCTTTTATTTACTCAGGAGGAAGATTTTATCAAAATTGTTACCGAGATGAGTGACTTAAGATGGCTCAAACTCAACCGGACTTCAATGAACTGGGTACCTGAAGAATTGGCCAAGTTAACCAAATTGGAATCACTTTCACTGATAAAAAATAATCTAGTTTCATTACAATCAGATATTGTTGCCATGAATTGTTTAAGGTATCTGAATGTTCGGGAAAATAAGATAAAAAATGGTGGTCTACCGACTAGCTTATTTGAGCTTAAAGAACTCCTAGTGCTTGATCTGAGTCGGAATCAACTTAAAGAAGTGCCCGGTGAATTGGAACACGCAAAAAGTCTTCTTGTTCTCAACTTAAACCACAACCAAATTGAAGGTGTTCCTAATCAAATATTTGTTAATCTTGTAGAATTAATGTATTTAGATTTAAGTTATAACAAACTAGGTAAGTTTCTATTTTTATCCTTCGCTAATCCATTCTGTTTGTATTTTTCATCTGATTTATTCTAACTTTTGTATTATGTTCACTTTTTTATCACAGAAACTTTACCTCCTCAACTTAGACGATTAGTTAAATTACAAACTTTAAACCTCAGCTGCAATCCTCTTGGACATGTTCAATTGAGACAATTACCTTCCCTCATAGCCCTCCGTTGTTTAAATTTACGTAACACACAGCGAAATGTACAAAATTTACCCTCGTCATTGGAATCTCTGATTAACCTTAGCGAATTAGATTTATCCGATAATCAACTCGAATCAGTGCCACCTGTGTTAAACACAATATCCAACCTTAAAAGGCTTAATCTCAGTGGAAATTGTATTTCATCCTTGGATTCCAATTTCGGTGATGCATGGAAATATCTAAATACACTTAATTTATCACGTAATCGACTTAAATCCTTGCCGCCATCAATCTGTAAATTAACTCGCCTTCGACGTCTGTACATTAGTTATAATGAAGTTGATTTTGATGGAATACCTTCTGGAATAGGGAAACTTTCCAATTTAGAAGTATTTGTTGCATCGAATAATAATTTAGAAATGATACCTGAAGGAATTGTTCGTTGTGGACGCTTGAAAAAACTCAATCTTGCTCACAATCGTCTGATAACTTTACCAGATGCCATACATCTTTTAAACGATTTAGAAGTTCTCGATCTCTCTGATAACCCTGATCTTATTATGCCACCAAAGCCCCCTGAACATCATTACTATTCCAAAGGAAGTGGAATTGAATTTTACAATATTGACTTTTCGTTGAAAACCCAATTGCGAATGGCAGGAGCTGCTGCACCTAAAAGTCTTGCTTCGCCCACATGTAAGTTACCGTAAAAAGAAATTGTAAACTTTTTTGATGAAATATCATCTCTTTCCTTTTTAACTGTTCAATTGAATTTGTTCTTAATTCTGTTCCTTTTTCATTCTACTTATTTTCCTTTCTCTCGCCTTGATCTTTCTATTCCACCCTTACTCTTTATTTACATGCATTCCTCCTCCATATCATTCAATTTCAATATTTTCCTACTACAGCACCGGTTAAAGACCCTATCGCGCGTAAATTGCGACTCAGAAGGCGCCATCGTAATGCAGCGGAAGACGATGAATCAAACCAAGCTAAAGTGCTCAAAGGAATGAGTGAATTAGCTAGAGAGCGAGATCAACTCATAGATGAATTTTCCGAGTCAAGTGATGCCAATCTGAAACCTAAAAAATGGGAAGAAACTCTAGAAAAGCCGCCATTAGATTACAGTGATATTTTTGAAGAGGGTGTTGGCCAAATTCCTGGTTTAACAGTCTGGGAGATTGAAAACTTTTTACCCAATGTTGTTGACGAAGCTCTCCATGGTAAATTTTATGAAGGTGATTGTTACATTGTTTTAAAAACTGATGAAGATGAAAATCAAAGTTTAAGCTGGCAAATCTACTTCTGGATTGGATCCAATGCTCCTCTTGATAAGAGAGCTTGTTCCGCAATCCATGCTGTCAACCTTCGCAACTTTCTTGGTGCTCAATGTCGAACAATTAGGGAAGAGCAAGGAGACGAATCGGAAGAGTTTCTACACCTCTTTCCTGATCGCATAATGTACATAGAGGGTGGTCGTACAGCCAGTGGATTTTTCACTGTGGAAGAAGTTGAAGTTGTTCATCGAATGTATCGACTTCACGAGCTTCAAGACAAACACCGTCAACTTTACCTAGAAACAGTGGCCTTATCAAGTGAATCACTGGATCCTAGATTTGTTTTTGTTTTAGACGCAGGTTACTCTATCTATGTTTGGAATGGATACAAATCAAAGAATACCATGAAACAAAAAGCTCGACTATTAGCTGAGAAAATCAACAAAGAAGAAAGAAAAAATAAAGCAGAAATTGTATTTATTTCTCAAGATGAAGAACCCGAAGAGTTTTGGCGGGAGCTAAACGTTGATCTACAAACTATTGATGACACCGTAATTGATGAGCACGTAGATCTGAAAAATTTCAAACCTTGTTATCCTATTTTGTACAAAGTTGGCTTAGGGATGGGTTATCTCGAACTTCCGCAAGTTCATTTTAAAGAAGGCAAACTCTTCCCTTCTCTGCTTGAACCAAAAAATGTTTACATCCTCGATTGCTCAACAGATTTATTTGTTTGGTAATTATCATTCAATTCATTATCATTGTCTCTGTATGAAAACAATGAAGCTAATTATGTTTTTCAACCTTTCTCATCAGGTTGGGGAGAAAAGCACCTCGTCTAGTCAAAGCTGCTGCCATAAAATTGGTTCAAGAATTGTATGATATGATTAAAAGACCGGAACTTGCATTAATCACTCGTTGTTTACAAGGGTGAGTTTTTGATAAACCATTTTTTACAATTTTAATAATTGAATCTATTGATAGTGATTCAGCACATCTCTCCGCCCTTTCACCTAATTTTCTGTGTCCAATCTGTTACTGCATCTAATATTACGTGATCTAATATTCTGTTATTTACTTCCACCATCTCAAGTGATTCTGATTAATGCTGAAGCTTATGGCCATTATCTGATTTGTTTGAATCAAGATAAGTTGACTTTTAGTAAATAGTTCATCATTTTTTCTGAGTTTGTTGAACATGAAAATTGAACTTGTAAACACAACTAGGAAAAAAATGTCAACTCATTGCATATCATATAATTACATTTCTAGCTCAACTTTTTTAAAAAGTCATTGCTAGCAGAAAGGCAATGTTACTCGATTCTCATGATATTTTAGGTTAATTTCTAATTTTAACCTAACTCTGTTTAAAAATAGTTGACACTTTGTTTAGGACCCAATTTAACTCTATAATGACATGCCCCTAATTACTTCCTATATTAGATAGATTGACAAATTTTGGACGATATTTACTCTTTCCGTGTCTGAATCTAATGCCAGAATTTTTTAATAAGCTTAATGTTACTCTATTTAATCAATTTTTCACTTTATTTTCTAGGAATGAACCACAAGTCTTTAAAGCAAAATTTAATGGCTGGGATGATGTTATTGCTGTTGATTTTACTAGAACTGCTGACTCGGTTGCGAGAACTGGTGCTAATCTTCATGAATGGATGTCTAAACAAAAGGTTAAAATTGATACTTCTGCACTTTTCATGCCAAGAGCTAAGTCAATGGATCCAGAAGAGGAAGAAAAATTGATTGAAAGTTGGAATGATGAGCTTAAATCTATGGAAGCATTTGTCTTGGAGGGTAAAAAGTTTGTTCGTCTACCAGAAGATGAGTTAGGACACTTTTACAGCGAAGATTGTTATGTTTTCCTCTGTCGTTATTTACCACCTCTTGAGTCGGATGAAGAGGAAGATGAAGACGAAATCATTGATAGCAATGATTACCATCTTATCTCATATTTCTGGCAAGGTCGTGATGCTTCCAATATGGGTTGGTTAACATTTACTTTCGACATGTTGAAAAAGTATCAAATTCATTTTGGTGATAAACTGGAAGTTGTTCGGACCCATCAGCAACAAGAAAATTATAAATTTTTATCTCATTTCAAGCGTAAATTTGTGATACATACTGGTAAAAGACCTCCAAAAGGATCATCAAATAAGATGGTATCACTTAATCAAAGATGCACTCGTCAACCTGAATTTTTTTATCTTCGATCAAACTGTTCACTAATAACAACTCGTTGTATCCAAGTAGTACCTGATGCTGCCATCCTTTGTTCAGGTTTCTGTTTCATTTTGGCTATTCCTGGTGAAGATTCATTCGGAACTGCCTATGTTTGGGTAGGAAAACAAGCTGCAGAGGATGAAGCTTCCTTAGTTGAAGAAATTGCTTCTCAAATGTATGATTCTCAAGATTTTATCGTATCTGTGATTACTGAAGGTGAAGAGCCAGACGAGTTCTTTCATTATTTAGGTGGAAAGAAACCTTATGAGACTGATTCTTCTTTCATGCAATATACACGACTTTTCAGATGTTCCAATGATAAGGGATATTTCTGCATATCAGAAAAGTGTACCGACTTTTGTCAAGATGATTTGGCTGATGAAGACATCATGATACTTGACAATGGTGATCAAGTTTTCGTTTGGGTTGGATCAAGGTGTAGCGATGTTGAAATCAAATTAGCACTAAAAAGTGCAGGTGTTTATGTACAGAATATGAGAATCAAGCAACCCGATCGACCGAGAAAACTGATGTTAACATTTAAAGGAAAGGAAACTAGGAAATTTACTAAATGTTTTCATGGTTGGATGAAACATAAATCTACTGTTGATCCAAGGACAGAGTATCTCCTTAACAGGAATGATGACTTAGTGGAAGTTTAATTATACAAACGGAACTACAGTTATATTTCCATTTAACAAATGTCTATCACCAATCACCAAACCAATCAATAGCAAAGTAACAAAAACAATAACAATCTACATACTAGTGAGAGGGAGAAAATTTCTTTCAACAAAATATAAATTAACTCTTTCGCCAAATCATCATTTAAATTTAATCATAATCACATTGAGTTTCATTAATTGTAATAATTGTTCATCTTTAATATCTTAACTATTATCATAATATCATCAATTCATTCTCATCAATCTCCATTCAAATTGTATCAAGCTGATAAACTTCAACTACTAAGCAAAAACGATTATGCACACAGCAACTCTACGATTAATTTATGTGCAAAATGAAATACGAAATAATATTTGTAAACATAAAATTTTTAACAAATTTTTACACTTAAACATGTCATAATTTACATAATTGTACAATAGATTACAAGCAACAAAAACTAACTGCAACAAAAGGATCAAAATTGATGGGTGTAAAAAAGTGCCTATCTGCATTGATGGTACAAGAAAACTATTGAAAATGGATTGCGAGCAATTTACCATGAAAAACAAAACAAACCAACTATGGTTGACTATATACACAGTGATTATGATTTTTTCCTTGCAAATAATTGTATTATTACTTTTAATCGTGATAATTGGAAATGAAAATAATGTGTAATCATGCTGTAAATGTTTACTTTGTTTATGTTTCTATCGCTTCCTTTACATGAATCTTGTTCCCATCTCCATGAAAATACAGTAGAATAATTGATTCTTTTGTTTAATTCTCTGACTCCATTTATTTACTCACTTAATTGTAAACAAAAATCAAGGTAAATGATAATCTTTCGATTGATATCCATATAATGTCAATACTCAACTTGAAAGCCAAGACATTTCAAGCCATTGATTTTATCTTAATGTAAGGCTTTGATTTTTCTAGCCTTTTGTTTAATTACGTTGACAGATTTCGCAGTTAATTAATATTTCATTATGGATCATAATTGAGAAAGATTAAACCTCACCTTTTGCCTAAGGGTGATATAATTTACATTATAATGATTCCTATCAAAACCAAGCCTTACTCAATTAATCTTTGTTATCACAGAGCTGTTCGAGTCAAAGAACTCTTTGGTTAATAGTTGTAGAGATTGGTTAATTTAACCCAAAGTTTCAATTGTCAATCAACTCAATAACAATTATCTAGATTTAGATTTGTTTAATTTTATACTTTTAAGATTTAGTTGGACATTCACACTGTCTACAGCCATTGACTTGATCTTAGTTTTTACCATTAACAAAACACACCTTCATTGGAAGGACACTTTTCTGTCGATATTGAATGTTAATTGAAGATTAAAATTAAAAGTAGAAACTCGGTGATTAGGTCAAGTTGGAAGATAAAGGTTGAGAAGAAGAAAGTTTGATGAAAGAAATAATTATAAATAGTAAGTCAAATAACTGATCAAGTGAACAAGTTTTCACATTACATGTTGAACAGTTGCAAAAAAAAAGTGATTCAGTTTAAAATACATATATAATATAAAATGGTCTTGATGCTGCCCTGCAGTGAGGTTGAATTTAAAAGCAAGTTGTTGGTCTGATTGTTGACCGATGTTTATCTAAACAGGATTAGCAACTAACGGCAATGCATCAGCCCAACCAACCAAGGTGCTTCAAAGTTAACAAACGAAACACCAACAAGTTGATCTTATTTTGAGTGAAACACCATTCTTTTTTCTTGCAACCATTCACTCCAAGAACCTTTCCTTTTCAACAACAACATTAACATATTGAAACATTATAACAAGTGACCAATGAACTAATCAAATTGTCAACAATATTTTACTTTGAAATTTCACAAGTAAAATACACAATGGAAATTCAGGACATTGATGAGATCGAGTTATCGGTAAGTAATATTAGTCTCCTTAGTGTTGCTTGAAATTGAAAGTTTACCAAAAATTGATTTGTAATTGTTAAGATGCCACCGAGGAAGGGTAAACGACAACATGTCCAGACAACATCTCGAGCAAAGTGTTTGGTTTCCCTTTTTGTGCTAGTAAATTATTGTTTAATTGCCAATGTCGATGGACAGCTGATGAGACTGGATCGTCTACAATCTCGGATGGTGCAGAAACGCTCTGATAGAGGCAGTCCAGCTTTAAGAGGTCTATTGGATACACTTTTGGAGCCAACCAGAAAAGCATCTTCCAGTAATGGTTGGAAAGGATTTGTTTTCATGGATCCTTTATTTAAAGTACAACGATCTCCTAGTTCAAGTGCAAGTGTCATTCAATCTGCATCTGTTCCGTCTTCGCCTTCCTTTTCAATGGATAGTCCTCAGTATGAAACGGAAAGTGCACCAATACCATACATTATGGAGCCTCCAGTTGATATGTATCAACCAATGGCTTCAAATACACGCTATTCAACTGCTAAACGTCCATATGATGATTATTATGATGATGATGAAAATGGTGAACCAATTCCTAGAGTGAGAACTCGAAAGGTAAAATCAGTAACGACAACAACCAAAAAACCCAATCCAACTCCAGCAATAAGCATTGGCCCAGCTTCTGGTGGTGGAACAGCAATAAGGTTAGGCAAAGCGAAAATTACATTCAAAAAGGGAAGTATAAGTTTAGGTCCAGTTGAAGATCACGAATCAGAGTTAAAAAAATCATCAAATATTGATAAATGTAAGTATCAACATTTATTCAACTTTGTTTACGTTAATTAGTAGTCACATAGCTAATTGACCAGCTGATCCATTATTAACCGTTATCCAAAATTAGGATTTCTCTTTAAAATTAACGAGCTTGAGAAACCAAACCAGAATATATTTTTGTATCTATAAGGTTATTATTAATATATAAACCCACTAATTTAATACTTCAACGAAAACAAATTTATAGTCAAATCTATTTGAAAAACATCTTTAAACCAACTTTTGAATTTACTTTTCATCGTAAATTGAATCTTATGGATTAACATTGATATCTTATTGTTTTACACCTTAACTCAGCAACCAAACGGCCTTACCATAACTACGGAGACGAGACTGAAGCCAATGATTACATTGGTACATCTTCACGAAACCAAGGATCAGAACGTCAACAGAGTAACCGTGACTCAAAGGAACACTTGGACAGTAGACCGGTTTACTCGGAAGACGATTATGGACCCAAATACGCTGCAAATTATAAAACTTCAGCCACTGGTTATTATCAAAGTTACAAACCCTACCATAACCTGGATACATTAATGGACAAACAAGTGAATCCAAATCAAGGTAATTGGGTTAAAAAGTGTATTTTCTAATGTTCATCATCTTAAGGGTAAAAGGAAAACAAGTAATCAAAATGATTGCATTCAGATATAATCGGGTGAAAGTGGGTTGATTGGTTTGATGCAAAATGTGGATGGCTGGTGGAAATATCGTTGATAGTAAAAGTACTGATGATCAAAACTTTTCACTTGATTTTCATTCATTCAAATTTTCACATTTAGTTTGAAGCCAATTAATAACAGGTTTTAATGTTCATTAACCAATTTAATGCCCGGCCAAATCAGACTTTGTCTTTACACAATTTTTTTGTTTAAAGACAATTTACAGCTATTTATGAATCAAAATTTCAGGTCATTTGGCTCATCAAATTGGACTCTAATGTGCATGCTACAGTTGATTACAGTTTATCACAAATAGTAATTTACTTTAGACTAGTGCTATTGGAATCAAGTTCAAATCTCTATTTACTCAATCAACACACCAATCGATCATAAAAGATGAGAACCAAATCTGCCTCTTTTCCGATTTTCCGGACAAAGAGGAATTAAGGAAAGAAGGCTTCTTAAAATGCGAAATTTCAAGCAAATCGATTAGGAGACAGAATCTCAATGGAATCAGTTCTCATCCATTCATTTGACAAGAGTAACCGAGCCAAAAAAAACTAATTAACTTTGAATTTGCAGTGGACAGCGCTTTTCGAGTATTTTGTATGTTGATTTATTCATAGAAAGCAAAATCTTTAATGTCCACAAAAATCTGGTTAAGTATACAATTACTGTACAATTGTATAATTCATAAACTGTTTATGTTCAGCAAAATACTTGGACTATTAAAGGCATTACAGTATTATTATATTATCTTGCAGATAAATCATAAATCCATTTTAGCCATTCTAATGATTTTTATTTTTAATCAACAGGTCATCGAGCTTCATTAAATGAGCATACAAGTAATTATTCACCTCAACCCGTTTACAAAGGAAGCAGCAAGTCAGCAGTAACCGAGACTTACTTGACCAAGGGTGACTATGATTATGAAGACTCTGTTGTTACTGAACTTTCGTCTAGGAAAAAGATACGTGGTAAAAGACGAGATGAGTCAGTGATTGGAGAGGACGAGGAAAATAATGAAGACAGAGAGTCTACAGTAGCTAAATTGAATGAGAAACGTGAAAAGCGAAAGAAAAATGGAAACAGCAAAACAACCAAGAAAGATTTCGAGACTGATGAAGATGAAAGTAAACTGACAACAGAAAATGATGATGAACTAACAGAAGACATTGATGTAACTACGGAAAAAATATCATCATTGACTTCGACAACAAGAGCATCGAGAAAAAAGTCATCAAATAAACCAAAAAGTCAGCAAAATAGTTCAACATCAAGTCCAAAAGTAACAAGTAGTCGCACAAATCGCAACAAAGCCAAAGCTGCCAAGACAACAGTCAAGCCAGATGATAGTGGCTCTACAGATGAGAAAAGGTTGATTAAAGAGCATCGTGCAAGTGAAACTGATTCGGTCAATCATGATGATAATGATGATGAGGAGGAAAATGGAGAAAATGTTGATACTAAAAAAGCAATAGTCGATAGTGAAGATGAAGAGGAAGACGAGAAACCAAGCAAATTAACGACATTATTAACTACTCCAGCGACAGCAACAACAAAATCTAGTGAATCAAAGAGACGAAAATCAAATTCTCGGCAAAATGTTCGACGCAAAAACAACAGTAATAGAAGTTCAATTTCCACTCCTAAATCAACAATGATTCAGTTAGACGATAGACAGTCTAGCAAATCAAACATGGATACTGTTTACATTGGAAATCGAGGGCAAACAATTAAAGCAGATCAAAGTAAATCAAAGAAGGGTTCAATTGAATCTGTCTCAATCTTACCAGGAGTGGAAACATCTTCAGATAGAGGAACTATTGTGACCCTAAAAATGTCTGATGATCCATCATTAGGAGTAATTGGAAGTTCATCCAATTCACGGAAACCTGGGACCATTTATCAAATAAGGTTAACATCAAAAATTCCAACTGAACCCGCAATTGTAACCAAAATAGCTGAAGATAATGGATCGGTTGATATTGGTAAAGATGAAAATTCATTAAACCGTTTAATCAAAATGATGCAGGATACACTGGAAGATATAAGAAAAAGTCAAACCTCTTTACTGCCCTCAACAAGCTCATCTAGTCCATGTCCACCCTCCAATTCACAAGTAATCATTGAGCCAATTCCGACAACACCAAAACCAAGTTTAATCCTTTCCAATTTAAAAACATCAACAGTTAAACCCTTAGTTGATCCATTTCTCAATCTACATCATGGCAATATTACTGTTGTCCCAGCTTCAATGGGAAATGTTAGTGATATTGTTGATATGTTGGTTAAAACATCTAAATTTATGCAACCCTCAACGAGTGAAAAGACTGTTTTCTCATCGATTGTTGATAAAACGCCGATCATTAAAGAGATCACAAGCGAAGTAGGTGATAATATTGAGGATAAAAAAAGTGGAACAAGTGATAATTTTCCAATTGATCTTGACAGTAACAATCAAAGTATTAACAGTTCTGATCGACCTCAGGCTGAAGAGAGTCGGACAAAAGGAATGAAGCAAAATTTCAATCAACAAGCAAATACAGATGAGAATAGTGATCAAATTGAATCGACAAGACAAACTGGTAGCATAAATAACGATAATGGTGATGATGTTCCCATAATTGTTGTATTATTGCCTCCGGAAGATGATATTAATAAAGGAACCATCAATTGAATCTCACAACACATAAAATTAACACCATTTACAATGTTAATCTTTCTGTTTCAATAAAATGTAAATATTTACTGACCACTTTATCACTTTTTAATATATTATATTCACAATGTTCAAGATACAAAAACTGTTTAGATTTTTCAAGGTTTGCAAAATTGTTCATTTATTTACAACTCAGTTGACCAAAAAAGGATTTATTGTACAAAAATTTACATTAAAAGTTAGACTAGTCTTGATCTAGAAAAATAATATACAATTTGATTCTCTATTAAATTAGTTTAGACAATTACATTGATTTGTTCAAGTTTAAAGCGTATAAAAGGAACAAAAATTTTACCAAATTGTGTTAACAATAAAAAAAGGAGATCGAAAGCTAATACAATGTATTATGATCAAAATTGAAACATAAATCATGCCATTACCTTTCACATTTGTCTGATATGTAAGAAGGAAAATAAGGTAAAACATGTCCACAGTAATGAGAGGTAAATTGTCATTAACAAGTCATCATTTTTTTTCTTGGAAATCATTTCTGATTAAGGTATTAACAATATGATAAACAAGAAGCCTTTAGGGTTTACAAAGAAAAATGGATAATAAGGTAAAATAATATACATTAGGATGAAGATGGGTAAAGTAAAGGTAAGAAGTTTGTGGCCACAACAAGGAAATAAGGGAAAGGGAAGAAAAAGGTTGAAAGGTTTTGATATGTGATGTTATATAATACAATAAATCAAATGATAGAAGACATTATATTGCTTGAAGCTGGAAATAGCTCGAGAAGAGAGAAAGCAAAAGATTTCCTTTGAGAGTAAGTAAAAGCCAATGTCTGGAAAAGATGAGATCTATCATCATCTATGAACATCAATGTATCCATCTTCATCTCTACCATGATTGAAGGTCTTCAGGCTTGACTCTGTTTATAGTTCATCCTATCATGATGAGCTTCTTCAAGGGCCAACTTGGGACGAGTGAGCTTTAGTTTTAGCTTGCACAAGATGAGGTTAAAGGTGAAACAAAAATGAGAATCAAAACTAATTTGCAAACAGAAGTACAATTGTGCATTAGTTTTAAGGAGCAACAGCAACAAAGAGGCACAAAATTTTGATACAAAATCTGGCTCCTTTCTTTAACTATTCAGCCTCCGGGGAAAATTTGGATTCTGTTGGTTTCAGCAGATTATATTTCGGTACAATGTATATTTCAATGAATATCAGCTTTCCATTGGAAACAATTGCAAGAGAAATGATTGAGGTAATCAAATGGTTTCAATTTTCGCAGACAAACATGATAAATTTGGATGATGAGTTGAAGGAGGATAAAAAGAGGGAAATGAGTTATTTTAGCTGTGAGTTCATCTTGTGTTTGCCATTTTTTAACAGTGATGGTTGATTGTTTTCCTAAGGATTGCTTTTGATAATCAACTGTAGCCAACTCAGCTAAGTCCAACCATAAATAAGTAAACACTGTATTGTAATAGAAACAGTTGAGCTAATGATAAATTGGTTGAACAGCAATTGCATCCAATGTCTTGAGGGTAAAGATCGAGTAAAGGAATACTGGGCAAGTTAGCCTTTGGCCTTAAATCGATTGAAATTATTGAGATATTCCGGTTCATTATTGATTTGGTTGGATATTTACAGGTCATTAGGCGAGCTTTTGATTCAGTCGATAAAAAAGTTTCATGATTTAAAAGGTGAATTTTACGAGTCTCTTTCAGCCATTTACGAAGCCAAGAACCTAACCAGGTTATATCACAGGAACAGATTAAAGGATTATCTTCCAATAGCAAACCACCTAAAAAAACGTAAAAAACAAAATGATATAATTAAACATTTGAAAATAGGTTTATTATTGAGTCCAAATTGGACTAAATTGGACTAAATACTATTGATTGATGACAATTCAACTGTTTTTTTGGTTGATTCGTGTTCACTATAAAAGGGTGATTTAATATCGTGATCAATGTCATTAGACACAATTAGCAATTGGGAAGATGCACAGGAAAACAACTAAAAAACGATTCATCAAAACCCTTTTGAAAATTGGATTAAATGAAAAGGTTAAAGTTGATTAGTGAATAAGCAACAATTAAACTTTACAATTATATTGTTAATGATAATAAGCTGATATTCCTGTGGTTAGCAAGAATTGAATCAATCAACCTTTAAACAGATGACAAACTGGTTAAACATTTTGCTTGCCTGATAATGTTATGCCATTTGATGAGAAAGGAACATGAAATGGAAATGAACTTTTAGTTGCTTCAATTGGCTGTAAAATGTCCAGATTAAACTGTGTTAGCTGATTTCGCCGTAAATCAATGGTTATATGACGAATATCATTAAGATATCGAAGTAACCCAGTTGGAAGGACAGATATATTTGTATCAACGATTCTCAATACCATATCAGGTCGATGGTGAAGTCCTAATGAGAGAATAAAAAAAGATTAAAATGAATGATTAGTTGAAATGATATCAAGTTGGAAAGGTTGAACAAGAAATAATGACAATGTTATTAATAAATGTAAATTGTAAATGTCTAAATGAATTGGAAAGTTAATATTGACTTGTTGGGAAACAAAAATGCCATTAAGGGTCAACAAGGGTCTTGAGGTTGAATTTGAGAGCTAAAAGTTCATTATAACCTTTTGTGGTGTTAAATTGAATAGGAAATGGAATGAAAAGAGGTATAAGGAGAGTTGTATTATAATAATGAGAGAAAGAGAAAGAAACAAAAATCGATTTAAGAAGGTAAAAGTCTCTACGATAATCAAGGTTTAATGTATCAATAAATTGTTATCCATTTAGAGTTAAGGTCAATTTAATTTGATTGCTTGATCCTTGACTTGGACATGAAGAGAGGAACAAAAGTAAACTTCAAGAGTCAAAATTAATCTTCAACATAAACTGAACAAAATGAATGAGATTTGGAGGTTAAAAAAGATAGAATAAATTGAAGTGTATTGTATTTCATTAATGAATAATTATCATTAAGGAATGGTCAGGGGAAAAGGAATAAATTAATATTTACCAAGAAATGCATCAGGAAGTATTTTCTTCAGTTGATGTCCAGTAATGATAAGTTGACGCAATTTAGATCCGAAAGCCCATTGAATTTGATGTGATAAAATGGGTTCTTCAACTTGGATCAAAGCACTTCTCAGTGACAATGATTTAGTCAATAAATCGGCCAATCTAAATGATCTGACTCGAGGATAAGTTGAGGTTGCAAGATCAGTTAAATATCTGAAAAGAGAAGAAGAATCAAAATTAATTTCAATGATAAATTCAACTAATCAACAACCTAGACTCAGTTGAAAACATGTTTTGTTTTTGTATGACAACACTTTTAAACACTCAGATAAACTTGGAAACATTTTTGCTTAAATTTTCAATTTCGTTTCCCTCTCAATGTGTTATTCAAATTGTCAATTGATTTTGCACATCTTCCTACAAATGAATAAAAAGCAGAATAGGAAGAATAGTTGAAAGGTTAAAGATGATGTATCCTTTCATTATCATCATCTTACGATGGTTGACAATTTGCAATTCAAAAAAGTTAATGTAATGGTTTGAAACAGGTTGCAGGTAATTTAAACGACCCTTTTCTACCAGCTTTTAATAGTTTGCTCTTTTTTGTTGTTACTCAATTGTCAATTTGCAACAATTTAAACAACAAGAAAATGGATGATTTAAAATGGTTTTCAAATTGTTTGCCACTCACTTTCATCGGTTGACAATTGTAGTTAACTTGTGAGAGAGGAACGATCAGAATGATTATTGATTTTATTCCTGTTAAAGGCGTGTAAATCGATTGGAAGGAAGGTTGAAGAGGAGGATGGAGAGGAGGTGAGAGGAGGTGAGGATCAATTGAATGAAATGGAAGGTGAAAGGTTATTTTTCATTCTGATTGAAGTCACAAATTGATTGGTGAAAACAAATATAAAACAAAATGATAAATTGATATCTTAAAAGGTTTAGACAAAAGTCTAAAATTGATTAAAACATTTTACAAGTATATTGTTTTGTATTATAAAAATGTTTCCAAATAATAAATCAACTGTAAATTGGTAAATAATCAGCTCAAATTATATTTGCAACAATTTCAATTGAAATGTTTGAGTAACCATTTTTTACGAGTCTAATTGTTGACCATTTATTGGTAAAGGTTTGCAGAATGTTCAGTGTTATTGTTTAATGTTACTTTTTTGGGTAGTTGATTTGAAATGGTCAATTGTTTTAGGATAAAATTAATGGTTGAAAATTGTATTACACTTACTTGAGACTATTGAACATCCTAATATCGATATAACGAAGGGATAAACTTCGTATATCAATTGTTTTGAGCTGTTTAAATGGTGTGAAAGATGATGAATCAAGATTAGAAATGGGATTACCGGATAAACTAAGGGTAATCAAGGATCTCAGGAGTCCCAATTCCTCAGGTACAACTGGTAATTCATTGAAAGATAAATTAAGATGAAGTAAATTGGGTATATCAGATAATATTGAGGATGAAATGTTGTATAAAACATTATGAGAAACATCAAGGTAAATCAAATGAGTTGATTTGATGGCTGGAATGGTTGGAAGAGAGCAATTTTGAACATGTAAATATTGAAGAGCTGAAAATGTAATGGTTTCTCTTTTGTTTCCTCCTGTTGATAAACTTAATTGTTTCCTATTATAACTGGTAAAATCTCCATTTATTGGGTTGTATGAGAGATCCAAATGTCTGAGTTTGGGTAATGTGGATAAAAATACGAGGCTTTCATGGAATTGATGTAAATGGTTTGATTGTAAATTAAGATGAATTAAATGTTGACAGGAATAGATCTCACTAGGGATTGAATAGAAATGATTGTCAGACAAATCGAGGTGAACTAAGGTTGAAGATATTCCAAAACATGGCCAATTCATGTCCATTATCAATTGTCCAGGTGAGTATTCAGGTGTATCTTGATGATCATTATGAGTATGCTGTTGATGATGGTGATGATTATGATTATGATGATGGTGATGATGATGGTGTGAAGGATGATTATGCTTACGAGCAGAGGAAGTAGATGGTAAAGATGATGGTTTAAGAAGGGTTAAAGATGAAAGATGATTGCCTTTAAGGTTAAGTTTGGAGACTTTGGTACCATTAAAGATGGTAGGATGAATAATGTTGATGGCATTATAACTGAGATCAAGTATCATCAAGTTAACCATGGATGAGAAAATTCGACCAAATGGAACAATATTGGTAATATTGTTATACGAAAGATCCAAAAAGATGAGATTCTCACAGCAAGAATGGTTGCTTGAAGAAGAAGAGGTAAAAGGTGATGTTGATGGTGTAAAGGATTGATTTAATTGAAGATCAGGTAATTGTGAGATTAAATTATTGCTCAGTGAAAGGCTCATCAATGATGTTAAATGGTGAAACGAATCAACTGGAAAACTGGTTAACCCATTATGGTTAAGGTTAAGAGTTACAAGGTTGCCTCCAATTGCTTTGCTAATATTTGTATTAAACTCGGTTAAACGGTTATAGCTTAAATCGAGAGATCGAATTGGTAATCCAACCTTTCTCTTAATTCCAATAGGTTGATCAGCGGGTAAATTGTTGTTCATTTCTTGGCTCAAATCATCGTTATTATTGACTTCGTTTGGTACAGTTTCATTGGTTGCATTATTACCAGCACTATCCGGTAACGTGGGTGTGGTTACTGGTAAAGGAGTCACCAATTTTCCTGGTTTAACGGTTGTCGTTGAGGTTGTAGTTGATATTAATGTCTCTGATCCATTGACCCATCCATTAACATTGAAATCAGCAATCAAATCAAAATTGGGTTCACTCACGTAAATATGGCTGAGCTGGTTGTGAGAGACGTTCAAATTAATACCAAATGGGTTGCTTAAATTTTTGGCGGCCAAAGAAGTTGGTCTAATATCACTAAAGGAAGAGAAATCAATAAATTTCAATTGATTTTCTTGTAAATGTAAATTAACCAGATTAGAGCAATTCACAATTATCCGTCGATCATCCAAAGATCCAAGCTGATTACGGGCTAAGATGAGCGTCTGAAGCATGGGCAGGTTATTAAAAGAGGTTTCCTCCAATTTAGTCAGCTGGTTACCCCGTAAATCAATTGTGACAACTTGTCCAAGGGAATTGAAGGTTTTACCACCAATTTGGACTAATTTGTTGGAAGAGACGACAATATTTCTCAACTTTGTATGCACGGAACCGTTAAAAAGTGAAATTGGCAAACTCATCAGCTGATTCCCTTCCAGATCAATGTGAACCAATGATGTCAACTCTTTGATGTTATCAAGTGAGTCACGATCAATTAATCGATTGTTATCCAATTCAAGTAACTCCAGTTTAACCATTGAACGTAAAGTTGAAAATAATTGACTTCCAATTGAATAGCTCAACTCTAATATGGTTAAAGATGATCTCAATGGGATTAAAAATTGTCCATAAGTGGATGAAGTTGTCAATAAATTATTAAAACCCAACCTCAACTCTCGCAGGTTAACTGTATTTTTAAACGCATCAGGTGAAATAAATTGTAACCCATTCTTGGACAATGAAAGGGACAACAATTTAGCAGACCATTTACCAAATGAATCACCATTTAATTTAATTATCTCATTGTCGGCCAAATTTAATCGTATCAGCTTTCTAGTTGTCGATAAAGCTTGAGTTGGAACAGATTTCAATTGATTGCAAGATAGATCAACCATTTGAAGTTCAGATGAAGAATTGGAAAAAAAAGATTGACCCATGAAAGACAATTTAACTCCCTTTACCAGTAAATTGGTAAGTCGAGTTAAACCCTTTAAAGGTTGACCCATCAAACTAATGGCTGGATTAAAGGAGACATCAAAAACTCTCAATCTATTTGAGAGTAAACTATTTTCAAATAAATTTTCAGGCAAATTGTTGAGCTGATTATTTGCCAAAGATAATCGATCAATAATTACCCATTTAAAGGTTAACTCGTCAATGGTTGCAATTGAATTGAAATCGAGCAACAATTCCCGAATATGAATGGCAGTTTCATTGGTTTGTATTAAATCATCGGAATCATCATCAGGCAAGTGTTGAACAACCTTTGGATACAACTTGGAGACTCGCTTGTTGTAGGTTGATGACTTTAGTTTACTCAATGGTATAACAAACTGATTAGACAAACTGGTTAACAGATTATGTGACAAATCAATTAGTTCAATTGTTTGAACAGTTAAAGGCCAATAATTGGGTAAATTGGCAATCAAGTTACCTCGAAGGTTTAACCAGCGTAATTTATTAAGACTCCATAAAGGTTCACTTGGAATCTTTTCAAGTAAATTGTTGGCTAATGAGAGTGATGTTAATGAAGATGGAAAGGGTTTACCGTCAATTGTTGCTATCCGATTGTTGTCCAAATCAAGTGACTGTAAACTGGTTATTGAGTTGAATATTAAATCGGGAATTGTTGTCACCAAATTATCACTAATAATTAAATTACGAAGCTCTTTTAATGAAGATGAAAATAAATGTTTCCATTGGTTTAAATTTAAATTTGTTAATCTATTTGATTTAAGGCTTAACCATTGTAATGAGGTTAAACCTTGTAATGAAGGTACATTATTAAGCTGATTGTAACTTAAATCAAGAGTTGTTAAACTTGATTGGGTTCCATTAAAGGCCATTGGTTCAATGGTCAACAGTCCACATCGTTTAACTACCAATGAAGAGACAAGGGTTAATCCAAGGGAATTGTTGAGTAAATATTCAACATCAGGACTGTTGACTATATTTAAACGGTAAATGTGAATATTATCAGGTAATTTAGGAATACGATTGATTGTAAGTCCAAGGCAATTAACTTCCCTGATGGGACTTGTTGTACCACTACAAGAGCATAGTTTATTGAAATCACCTGAAGCAAAGTGTTTGGTTGAAAAAAAGGGACAGAATGTTAATTGTGATTAATGGAAAAGTCAAATAATGAAAAGTACAAATAAAATCAAAATACTTACAAGGGACTGTGTTGACGACACAATTTACTGTTGCCATTGAAATAAACAACGTTAATCCAATCAACTGTTGATACATTTTGATATAAATCTAATTTGTGATTCTGTGATTAAACCTGAAACACAAGAGTCAACAATAACGTTAACTTGATTAATATTGATAAACAAAAGCAAATTCAAATGAAATAAGGTAATATTATACAAAGCAAAATTCACTCAAGACTTTACCCAGACTTTATCCAACTGACATAAAGGCTTTACTAGGCATGCCAATAAAGTCGTATAAAAATTAAGTTCTCAAAGACTTGGAACTTTTATTTTTTATTAATATTCAATATTCAGGTCTACTAGGTTTTGTACACAAGCGGTCAGATCTTTGATGGTAGCCCGATATCAATAAACGGACTTAAGAAATTTGCTAACAATTTTTCTCAATGAAGATGTGAACATTAAGTGCAACTGAAAACGTCAAAGACAAAAATTTTGACTCGATTAGGATTAACTCAGCTTCTGGAGCACTTTAGATAAAATTTTCCATGCTCTAACCCTTCAAGTGTATAAGAATAGCGATTCCGAAAATTGACGGATTTGAAAAGAAATAGCTAAATGTTCATAGCAAAAGAAACAAATCACTCCAAGAACCCGATTATTCAGTTTCTGGTGCATTTCCTTTTTCTGGTCAAACAAATGAATTGATTGACCTTTTTGATGGTTTAAAATACTTCTTTGATCTTCATCAGCTTTTGATCATTACTTTAAACTAGTAATGAGAGATAATTTGAAAACTAATTGAACCTTATTTGTCTGAAAGTGACACTGATGCTGGACAGTTAACCAGAGACAATGATTTATGAATTTGCCTTTAATTAATAGATTTGAAAAAGGCTTTTGATAATGTTTATTTTGATTAGAATTTTAAAATTCAAAAGTAAAATGAAAAACTTTGCAAGTTGTGAATAATGTTGAAACTTTTGATCCTCATGAGCTTAAATGAAAAGAAAGTGGAAAACGAAATTGTCTGAAAAAGTGAATGAAAAATAGGAAAGTAGAAAGTTTGGCGAATCAAGAAAAGTTCATGATTATCATGATAAACTCACAATAAACTCATAATAATAACGACGAGAAAAGGTTATAAAAATGATGAGGCGAAAAAGAGGAAGAAAAAACAGTTTACATGATTGTGATGAAAGAAAATACAAAAAAAAAGGTTAAAGAGACTAAACTTTTTTCTTGTTTTCATTTTTTGCCCATTCATTTCATACAGAAGCATGAAATAACTTTCTCATTGTCCAACATGATGTTCCCTCATGAAACTAAACTTTTCGCACTTTTTCAAAACTCCTTCAAGTTTGATAAGTTGATCCTTGAAAAGAAGCAAGTAGAAGCAAAAAAAGTCAACAAAAACAGAGACACTGAAAGATGCTTACTTATCATCATTATCACCATCATCATCTTGTAAGCAATCTCATGAAATCCCATGAGCAGGGAGTTGGAAGGCACATCACTGGGAGTGAAAATGATGGATATAAAACTTATGAAAGATAAAAAGTTGAGCATGTATCAAGTGACCAATATGAAGAAGCAAAGGCAAAGAAAAAGTTTTCAACATTTTACCAAATCTACGAATCAAATGACAATTGTATCAATATCGCTTAATTGTTTCACATTGATTAAAGTGAATCGAGAATCATGACAAAAAAGTTTACGATCTTTGATTATAAAAGTGATTTCTCATGAGTAAAAGTTGACTATTTACCATTTTATGTTGCTTCAGTTTATGAGTTTACCATGAAAGTTTAGGGGAAAAAGTAATTTCAAATGTTATCCAATCATTGAAAATCCAGATCAATAGCAATTGGAAACAAAAACAGTCAATAATGGAAAATGGATTTTCATCAAAATTTTCAACATTCCCTTCAGGGTAAACTTGTTCGCATTGAACATTTCAAATAAACTCTACTGGGCATCATTTATCCAATTTGATTAACTTTTAAAATTAACCTTTTTCAATCCATTTTTGTTCAGTTCTGATTTGAAAAACTTTTCCTGAAAATACCTTTTTCTCTGAGGTTGTCTTTAAAGGTAAAAAAAACTATTAATGTTGAGATAATTAGCATTCTGATATTAAGGCTACATTGATCAAGTTAATGATTAACAAAAAGCCTTCTACTTTTCCGTTTATTCATTTTTTGATGTGCAAAGGAAAATGTTGAACCAATAATTGTCACTTGTTAATTCCACTTGATATTATCATTATTATTGATTATGATTACTGAATGGTGTTAAGGTTGGTTGTATGATGAAAAAAGATGAAACTTTCATCAACAAATTTTCCCGTCTTCTTTCCCATTCAACTTTATCTTGCAGCTTAGAAGTAAATCCTCATTTCAAAGTTTACTTTCACATCTTCTTTTTTTTCTCACTTCCAATGTTATCTTTTATCATGAGCATCATCTTTTCCTTCCCATTGATGCATAACTTGAAACTAGCTCTAGATAATTGATGAAATACTCAGTTGATTCAAATGCAAAAAGATTAAGTTCAAGTCTAATTAAAAGTGTACAGCTTGCAAGGTGAATTTGCCTTTAATTTCTCAACTTTCTCAATCTTTTTCTTTCACTCTTTTCGCTTTTAATTTGAACAAAATTTCATTTCAATTTCTCTAATTTGATTGACTTGTTTTTTGTTAATTAATTTTGTATCAACAGTCTTTGAAAGGTTCATGATAATGTGATGAGGAAAACAAATGATAGTAATAATGTTTGGAAGCAAAGCGATGGGGCAAAAATTGTTCAATGATAATCTGATTACTTGATTAACATTCTAATGGCATGTTTATCATTCTTGGTGCGTTCTTGGATTCAATTGTTTCACGTCAATGATTATCATGAGGCATCCTGATTGATTGTAAACAGTTAATAAGACAAAATTCAAACAACAAGAAAATGATGAAGGGAATGGAGCTAAGTTTTCATAATGGTTGGTCGAGAAAAAAAAGGAAAGTATTAAAAGGTGAAGGAAAGATGAATTGGTAAAGAGAAGAGATTTAGGGAAAGAAATGATGGAAATGATGATGATGATGATGATGATAGGATGAGGAGAGATTCACATCTATATTTATGTGTAAAGGATCATTGAGCATTTTTGGGGTCGAAAAAATGAGAATCCAAAAGAGTAGCCAAATGATTGTAGGTAAAGCTGTGCAAGAAACTTTTCAGATTATAATGTAGCAATAGATTGAGTGATTATGAATGTCCGTTAAATGTTATTCAAGTGAAATGTTTATTGTGATCAAATCAACTTTCAAAGCTACAAGCCATCAAATCATCATATAATTTACGATTGAAGCCAGAGAATGCATTTTATCAGCTAGACAGTTCACAAATGAACAAATTGTGAAATCTAAATAAGCTTAAATCATGAAATACCATAATGCATAATTATAACACTTTTCAAGACTATTCACCGAAGATTTAATGGGCTGTGCGACGAGGGACTCAAAGGCTGAGGAAGGCATAATAAGCTAAAGTATAATTTTGTTATTTTTTTGTTGCCAATAATTAAAGAAATCAAAAATATCGAGAAAATTGTATTTTTAAAAACTTGAAGCTTAAAATTTTATATTCGAGGTTTACTGAGAAATAGATTCGGCCAGTTTATGAAGTGTTATTTATTTGCTGAATAAAATATAGTACAAAAGGAAGTGACCAATGCAGTAAAATGCTTTGAATGGATTTTTACAATTACTTTTATTTCCTCTAAATGATTAAGTTTCAACATCTTTCCAGGACAATTAGACCACAAGTTTTTCCTAGTGATGTGGTTCATGCCAAAGTCTTCACTAAATCAGTCAATCACTAGTAGTGACGAGTGGATAGTACATGAAAAAGTGTATTAAAGATACAGCAGAAAGCACACTTTTCGATAATTGCAATGACAAAACAATATCGAAGCTGTGCAAAGGGCAGAGACCAACGCATGATAATAGCTGAGATTTTGTTGAATCCATTTTCAGGGCAAAGGGTCAATATAGCGAAAGAAATTTAGAGAACATCAACAGTTAAGTTCATAATAGAGAGACTCAAATAAAGAAGCTCAAATTATTAAACTGATAAAGGAATAGTGAACATGCATTTCGGGTTTAGAGTTAGAAAGGGATACTTTTGTGGTATAGCACAGTGTGAATATCTTTGGCATTCAGCTATAATGTCATCAATAACATCGGTAAAGAACAATGATTTTAAGGGTTAGCAGTCTTTAGATACAGACACACAAAGTCTTAAAATCATTCACCGAAAATCAAATTTCTCGGTTTTGGCTTTCTCTATTTTGCTTTCACTATTTTTTCATTCTCTGTTTTGCTTTTTGTCTAGGTTTTGACCCTTAACCCATTTTCAGATATACCTGTTGAAAGAGTCAAATTTTCGCAAACAAATATTAATACATAATCGATTCAAACTCTGACTCGATTATGATGAATCAGTAGGCTTCCGGCAAATGTTTAATATAATCAAATAAACTTTAGCCATAATGTTAATCCTAATAAAATGGTCAGATCTTATCGATTTGTAGCTTCATTATAATGCAAAATAACCCGATGACGCCTCTTAAGCTTTTACTGATCAACTTGAACACACAGCTAACCCAATGTCAATCATGAGCCATTTCCCATCTAAGCTTGTGTAAATAAAAATTGTTTTAATTGAAATCTTTTCCAAATAACATTCTGATAAAATGTAATTCATTGCTGTTAAATCAGCCTTTAGCAAACCAAACTAATCAGAAAATTTCTTCTCCAATAATAATACAAAACAAACCGATGAAGCCTCTTCAGCAACAAACAAAAAACTATGAAACTGTTAAGGCTGCTTGAAAAGACAGTTTAATTTTTATACATCAAATCAAGTCAAATTAATGGCCAGAAAATTGAGTTTTGGTGATTCCATGACCAGCTTTTTTTCCAGTTATAGTCTTGGATTGTTCAAGTGGATTTATAAAGTCCATTATCAACACAAGACTCAAAGATTCTAGTTAATATTCACCCTTTTCGCCTTCACTCAAAGAAGGTGAATCAAGTTTTTATCAATATTTCCTTTTCAACATTTACCATGCACAA